ATTTGCTGGTGTAAGGATATTTTCAGGAACAGCTAATGGATCGACTCGGAATGTTCTAGCTTGAAATATCACTCTTTTTTTCCTATTACGGATCAGCACTGAGAGATGGGCAGAAACCCTTTTCCAGCATCAAGAAGCGATAAGGAAGCATTGCCGCCTGGCTTTCTGCTTGTTCTTTAGGGATTGATTGTTAATTGCCCTATTCCTTTATCTATTAACAGCAGCCGAGCATGCAGAAGCTAAACAGGTAGCGCAGGCCAGAAAAAGTTCTGTTTGTATGGTTTCTGTGTCTCAGGCTAGTGCTGTTAAAGGACATTGCAGCAAGGGCAGTTAAAAAAAACTGGAAAAGGTGCTAGGTAGACTTTTAGCCAGTGACACTTCCCCCTTTTTATTTCCCATGTTAGGAAATGCTTCCTTGTTGGACTCCTGCCTGCTCTTCAGCCATTAAAACTTTGGATTCAGAAGACTTCAAAATAAAGGGTGGCTGCATTGCATGGAACAAGGATATGAGAATAGGATCTCTGTCCAAAAACAGAGTGCATTTCCCTCACCAAGTGGAGCTTTTCCCACTACTTTTTTCAACCATGCCCAGAAAAGCTTTGTCTCCTTGATAACTTAGTGTTTAAAGGATACATGCTATTGCAAGTTCTCAGAGACCTCTTTTCAGAGGTCTCTGCAATCTATTTACTAATTTTAAGCCCTGAAGCCCCCGAACAAAACACCACAGTCAAAATGCATTGGGTGAATATATAATGTTATTTTCTTACTTATTCTACTTTAAAAAAATATTTTCCCACCAGTTCTCTTTTCCAGTAGGCTGTAAATTATCATCTATATTCCACAACCACGGCAGAATATCGTATTTTCCATCCTGTCCACATGGTTTATCCGTTTCGGAAAAATGACAATTTCATTTGCACTTACCACTTCCTTAGGGAGGATGTGGTGTTAAGGCTTGTCAGTTTTAGCCCACAGTTGTCCTTTTTAAGGTGCCTGGTTGAAAACCAATTTGTTGTTTTTGTGAATCATATTTTTTAAATTAATGGAATTCTGCTACAGGTATAGAAGCCCTGCCATTGAAAAGCACACAGCATAACAGTCCTGCAGCTGAAGGGACTCTATTTTTTGTTTGCTTGCTTGCTTGCGTCACTACAGTAATTCTTTACAGAAGGGAAAAAGGTGGATATAAATGTAGTATAATACTAATACTTTCTTGATGTATGCGTATATATTAAAGAAGAGCAAATTCATCTCTACATCTTGTCTATCTGGGCCGAGGACTGCAAACTTGTGGCCCTACAGATCTCTCGTGCTGCAATGCCCATCAGCTCAGACTGCTGGCTGTGGCTGATAAACTGGAGTCATCATCGACTGCAAGGCCACTGCTTGCTCATCCCTGTTCATTTGTTTATTATGCATCAATGCATCAGATTTATACCCTGCTCATTTTTCTTATAAAGGACTCGAAGCGGCACAGCTCATTCTTCTCCGGCTGCTCTCCCAAGCTTGTCTCCACAACCACCACCCTGCGAGGTAGGCTGGACGAAGAGGCTGGGACTGGCGCACAGTCCCCCAGCTGGCCCCTTGACTGAGTGCGGGCCAGAGGCCAGGGCGCCGAGCCGCGGCCGCACTGTCACCCCCGTCCCCTCCCGGCCGCTCCCTACCTGCCCGAGCACCGGCGACGGGAGACGGGCCGCCGCCCGGCCGCGCCCCGAGCAGCCTCGCCCGAGGGCGGCGCGAGCTCTCGCGAGACTTCCAAGGGCTGCTCCGCGACCGGGCTGCGGTTACTCCCCGCAGCTGGAAGTTGCGAGCGCAGCAGTCGGGCGAGGGCGCGGGGAGACCATGTCGCTGCCGGGCTCGCCGGTGTCGTCGGGCCCCCGCTGGGCGCCGACCCACGTCCAAGTGACGGTGCTGAAGGCGCGCGGGCTGCGGGCCAAGGCCAAGGGCGCCGGCGGCGGCAGCGACGCGTACGCGGTCATGGCGCTGGGCAAGGAGAAGTTCGCCACCTCGGTGGCCGAGCGCTGCCAGGGCTCGCCCGAGTGGCGGGAGGAGGCCACTTTCGAGCTGCCGCCACCGCCGCGGCGGGGCCTAGGCGGAGGGCCCGGGCCGGGCGGCGCCCCGCCGGCCTTGTTGCAGCTCACCGTCTTCCACCGCGCCCTGCTCGGCCTCGACAAGTTCCTGGGGCGCGCCGAGGTCAGCCTGGCCGAGCTGCAGACGGAGGGGGGCCGCCGGAGCACACGGTGAGGGCAGGAGGGGCGCGCGGAGAGCCTCCAGGTTCAGCGGCAGGCTACCTGTCTGAAGAACGAAGGGAAGAGGGAGAGCCGCAGGTGGCCGGACATTCGTGCTAGTTGAGCTTCGTGTGCTTCGAGGGCGCCACTTCCCCAGCGGCTCCCTTGAAGACCCGGTTTCAGGATCGTGACAGCCTCGTAACATTCCCTTAAACCGATGTTAACTAGTGGAGGCGGTGCTTCGTTTCCGCTCTGGATTAGGTGCATGGTTCTGGTTCGGGTGTTTTGATGGAGGACAAGGCTACCGACATCTAGTCCTGTTGGCTGTATGCCACTTTTCAGAGAAAGGTCATCTCTGTGTACCAGTGACTGGGGAACATGGGTGGAAGGGTGCCGTTGTGCTTGTTGGTTTTCCAGGGGCAGCTGGTTGGCCACTGTGAATAGAAGGTTGAACTAGATGGACCCTGGGTCTGATCTTGCAGTGCTCTTGTGTTCTTAAGCCCAGAAAGGCACCCTGGCGAATGGTTGGGGTGGAAATTTAAAAATCACCACCACTCCCCATTCTCTCTGCTAGGACCTTGATGCAAACTCGTGTGAGTCACTTGTGCCTTGTTGTTGTTGTTAGTCGGGAAGTCGTGTCTGACCCATCGCGACCCCATGGACAACCTTCCTCCAGGCCTTCCTGTCCTCCACCATCTCCCGGAGTCCACCCAAGCCCACACCCACTGCCCCAGTGACTCCATCCAGCCACCTGATCCTCTGCCATCCCCTTCTTCTTTTCCCATCTATTGTTCCCAGCATTAGGTTCTTCTCCAGTGAGTCCTTCCTTCTCATTAGGTGGCCAAAATATTTGAGTTTCATCTTCAGTGTCTGGCCTTCTAAAGAGCAGTCAGGGTTGATCTCCAGGACTGACCGGTTTGATCGCCTTGCAGTCCAAGGGACTCACAGGAGTCTCCTCCAGCACCACAATTCAAAGACCTCAGTCCTTTGGCGCTCAGCCTTCCTTATGGTCCAGCTTTCACAGCCATACATTGCAACTGGGAAAACCATAGCCTTGACTATACACACTTTTGTTGGCAGGGTGATGTCTCTGCTTTTTAGTATGCTGTCTAGATTTCCATAGCTTTCCTCCCCAGGAGCAGGGGTCTTTTAATTTCTTGGCTGCAGTCCCCGTCTGCGGTAATCTTCAGCCCAGGAAAATAAAATCTGTCACTACCTCCATTTCTTCCCCATTTATTTGCCAGGAAGTGATAGGACCGGACGCCATGATCTTAGTTTTCTTAATGTTGAGTTTAAGCCAACTTTTGTGCTCTCCTCCTTCACCCACATCAAGAGGCTCTTTAGTTCCTCTTCACTTTCTGCCATGACAGTGGTATCATCTGCATATCTGAGGTTGTTGATATTTCTCCCAGCAATCTTAATTCCAACTGGTGATTCATCTAGTGCCACCTTTCTCATGATGTGCTCTGCATATTAGTTAAATAGGCAGGCTGACAGTATACAGCCTTGCCGAATAGTGGTTCCGTGTCCAGTTCTCACTGTTGCTTCTTGACCCGCATATAGGTTTCTCAAGAGGCAAATAAGATGGTCTGGTACTCCCATCTCCTTAAGAACTTGCCACAATTTGTTGTGATCCTACTCTGAAGTAAAACCGGAAAAAACGTAATTGCTAAACACAGGGTTTAAAGTAATGTTTAGCCTGTGGCCCTCGTGTCCTTGCACTGTTCCAAAATATTTTGAATTTGGTTCAAATCATGGTGGGCTCAGTTGTTGTGAACCTGGAGGCCTGCTTTGTTTACTTCTTTTTCTCTAATTGCCAGATACATGTTTGTTTGAAGGCTAATACAAATACCAAGGGAGGAGGCTGACTGAACTGAAAAGAGGCTGACACTGCAATTTTAAAGGAAAGGTGGGAGGAAGGGTCTGCAAATATTCAATTATGGTTATAGCCAATGGTGTAATGGTTTCAAGTTTCACCTGAAGCTGTGCATTGGATCGTTGGGAGCCTGAAAGACAGGAAAGTGAGCTTCCATTAAAAAAAAAAATACAAAATTCAACTCGGTTTTTCTTAACCTAATGTCAGGGTGTGGGGCCAGGCTGTGGGTGGCCACAGACGAGAAAAGCAACAGAGGTACCAAGCGCAGGGCAACAGAACTTCAGGCAAAACAGAGTCCAAAAGCAAAGTTTTGGGGCAGGTAGCACGTCCAAGTCACAGGCATGGTACAAGTTGACACCAGAAGTATGCATCGGGGCAGAACTCATAAGCGGTCAGGAACTATTCATGGGCCAAGAACCAGGAGGACAAACAGGCGCAGGCACCTTGGACAGGATAACGGCAGGAGGCATTACAAGACAAGATACTTGTAAAACACCACCCACTGCAATTTTTTTTTTTTTTTGCAAAAACACATTTTTAAAATGCAGTGTTTTAAAAATAACACTGGAACATAAAAAAAATCTGTAGAAGGTACTACAAAGCCAAATAACAAGTGTGTGTGTGTGTATATATATGGAGTAAAAAAATAAACAGTAGATTACAGGGTAACAGAAATAAGATATATGTTAGTAGTTAGAACTCCAAACACAAAAATGGATTTATATTTTAGAAGTTGCGGTGGCAAGGTAGCAGTGCCAAGTAAGTAGGACTTAGTACTTCTATATTACAAAAGAAAGATGTCAAGGAATTTATGCTGGCTCCAAAAGGAATGATACCAAAACAGTCCATCCAAAGGAAAATGAAATTGATCAGCACTTGTATAATGCCTCATGTATGGGGTGGCGCTTCTCCATGTTTCCACTATGCAAGGAAGTGACACAGAGGTACACCTCCCACCCCCCACCCCAGGACTGCCATGCAGTTACTATCCACCTCACTTCATGAGGTCTGCGCACAACCTCATTTGTCATATGAGGCATAATTAGGACTTGTGCTAATGAGGAGTTATGTTCAAAAGTAAAAAGCAGCACTCTTAGGTAGAAACATCTGCCTGAAAAAGCAGTAAAATAATGGCACATAGTTTGAATTGAGGTTTATCTCATTTATTTATTTATTAAATTTATAGCCTGCTTTTTTCTTACAACAAACTCAAAGCAGCTTACATCATTCTCCTCTCAATTTAATCCCAACAGCAACAACCCTGTAAGATAGGTAGGGCTGAGAGTCTGTAACTGACCCAAAGGTGGCTCCTTGGCTGAGTGGGGGCTAGAACCCAGATCACTTGAGTCCCAGTTCCATGCTCTTTTTAATAGTGTGTTTGTACACGCTATTCTGTTTACAATAGCTCAGCAAGGAAGATTGATGATATTTCCCTGTTAGTAGTGACTGACAGGGAAGTCCTGGTAGATCAAACAACTTACCTAATATGGCCACCCATTGATTTCTGGCAAACATGAGACTCAAACCAGGATCCTTCTGATTTATAGCTGAGTATTTTCATCATGGTGCTGCACTAGTTTACTTTGAAGTGAGCCATTAGGACATAGGGCTGGTGATGGCCATCATGATATTTGAAAATGTTACTATCTGAAGAGCAATTAGTTTCAAATAGATACAAGTAAATCTAGCAATTGCTGCTCTTTGCTTGACATTTTTCTATATATTGTAGAATAAACCCATCTGCATGTGCACCATGGGAAGTAAAAGTGCCTAGTATTCACTGCCTATATTGGAGTACAAAAAGTTATACTTAGCAAGAAAATATTATGATCCTTCTGTTTGGCCAACATAATTTTAGACTGAACTTAAGTCCTTGTTTACAATTAGAAGTCACAAAGCATTGTAAATAATTCTCTTTAAAATGTTTGTGTGCAGTCAATAAATAGCAGCTTGGCATAAAGGAAACAAATATTTAACTAAACCAGTCCAGCAAGCTCACCTGGTTAACTTTGTTAATCTTGAATACTTTGCACAACCATGATAAGAGTTCACAGCGTGTTTGAAGTAAATGTTCTATTCAGAGCTCTTTCATATTAGAATAAGTAGCATAAGTTCAGCGTGAAAGTACCTAATTTATTTTATAAATGGCAACTAGGCCTGCAAGGTTCGGTTCAGTAGTGGTGAATGTATGACCCTTCAGATGTTGATGGACTACAACTCCCATCAGCTCTAGTCAGTACAGTTAGTGGTGAGGAATGACAGGAGTTGCAGTCTGTCAGCATCTGGAGGGCTACATATTCCCTACTCCTAGTTTAATTGATTGAAAGTTGGAATCAATTAAAGATTGCTAATCAGCTACAGATCCTTAATTAGATTGCATAACAGAAACATGCAAATTAGATTAATTGGTATCTTTCGAGGATGGGAAGATCTTAAATGTGAAGCGTATAACTGATGAGTTGGTACAAACCATTCAGAAAGTAGTTATGAGACTGCATGACTGAATGCTGAAAATAAAGGATACTTTGCTGCACAGTGAGCTAAAGGTCAGAGATGACTTCTGGCCTTTTCCTGATAGACTGGCATCATATGTGCTGATAAACTTTTATAAGAAGAGGAGGAGGTTTCAATAGTGCCATATTAAATACAGTCCAGGGAACATTTCACAATTTCATTTATTATTTTTGTGAATTAAGGCAAATGAGATTTTAGGATGTGAGAGGATATTTTAAAAGTGACTTTTTCTGATGACTTTTTCTCTTTCTCCTTTATTTCCTTCTCTGTTTTGATATCTAAATGTCTAAGACATGCAATTTTCTGAAAATATTATAACAAAACATATTTTAGGGGAAATTGCATGTTTCATTAGTTTCCTGTTCTTCTCTAAAATACTCTCTGATAATGACTTTCTCCTTTTCTCTCATTCTAGTTCTGTCTATCTGCTGTATCCAGCTCCATTCAAGACTTTCCTACAGTTCTTGCTTTGGCTCATATTGTGCCTGTGAGGAAGCAAAAAGGTTAGACAAACTGAGATGGCATGGATCTTAAGTCCCAATTCAGCAAAAGTCAATTAAAGTTCTTTGTAACTGTTGATATCGTTTATGCCATTGCCTGAATGTCATAACCTTATATGGAGAAAAAGCTTTTGGCAGTGGTCTAATCAGTGCCATGCCCAGTTGCCCAGTTAAGGTAGTGTAATACTAAACTACAGATACACATGATTGGCAGAGCCAGAAAGGGGTCGTGAGAATCTGCTTAGTAGCTACGACCTTTCCTGACCCCTACTCTGTAAGATTCAGCCTTTGCTGTAGGGGAGCCTTGTCTAACCTGGTGCTTTCCAGATGGGCCTTGTGGGCTGGGAATGATGGCAGTTGTAGTCCAACACATCTGGACTTAGAATTACAATTGCCTCACAATTTCTGAAAGAGATGATATTTTGGGGAGTGAATACATTGCTCATAATAACAGGCACATGTGCATTATACTTTTTAAACATATTTTACATCAATGAACTGACTTGGCTGTCTTCTTCAGTCTAATAGCCCCCACCCAAAAAAATACCTAGACAAATGATAGCTTTGTGGGGACGTTTAACATCCTTACAGAACCTTAACCCCTTTTAATAAATTACATTTTTCAGGCTCCTTAATTGGAAACAATGAAAGTAATAATGATTTTATAGATAGATATGTCTGAATTTGTGGCAGAGGGTACATTTAGCATTAAGGTCATATGAACATATTTTTGGAAAACTTTCATTTGAAGGCATTATTATTATTATTATTATTGCAAGTATACCTGCACATTAATTTGGCAAAGAGAACAAGCTCTTGCTCAAGAATAGCTTACATATATGCCCTCCTGCCCCTTGAGATCAGCAACAGATGCCCTTCTCTGGGAACCCTCTGTGAATGATATTAGGAGGGTGAGTAGCCAGAGGAGGGTCTTCTCTGCGGTGGCGCCCCACCTATGGAATGTGCTCCCCAGAGAGGTCCGCCTGGAGCCATCGTTATTTGTTTTTCGGCACCAGGCTAAGACCTTTTTATTTAAAACTTATTTTAATTGTTAATTTATTATGTAGGATTTTAAAAAATTTTAAGCCGAGATGCACTGGGGTTTTAATATTTTTAGTGTATAATTTTTCTATAATTTTGTATGTTTTTGTTTTTGTTGTGAGCCGCCCCAAGGCTTTGTTGTGATGGGGGTGGCATAGAAATGTTTTAAATAAATACATACATACATACATACATCAGCAGCAGCAGCATAAAACAGCTATGTTTTTTCTCATTACATGCACCAAGAACTTCTGTATTAAGGCTGAATCCTGTAGAATGTTAGAAACATTTGGCTAATATTTTTAAAGCATTATTTTTGAAAATAATGGAATGATATTCAGGAATAAACATAAGAACACTTTTTCCTTGAAGGACAGACAGTTTTGTTCCTTTTTCTTCCCTTTCCTCTTCTATTTTGTTGGCTAAATACAGCTTGCCTCAATATGCAAACTTACCTACTATTTCACTCCCGTGGAGAATCTGATTCTTTATGTTTGAACTAAAAATTATGCAACTAGTGTGTTGAAACTAGTCATCTTAAGTCCGTAATGCTAAATCTGAATTCTTATTTGCTTATGCAGATGGTACAAGCTTCACTCCAAACCAGGGAAGAAAGAAAAAGAAAGGGGTGAGATTGAGGTAGATATCCAGTTCATGAGGAGCAACATGACTGCCAGCATGTTTGATCTTTCCATGAAGGATAAGTCTCGGACTCCATTGGGCAAGCTGAAAGACAAGCTGAAAGGGAAGCGAGGCAATGGCTTGCCAGACACAGCTTCAGCTATTATTCCTAGCATTAGTCACTCCCCAGCTGATGATAGTGAGGAAGATGAGAAAGAAAAGAAAAAATCCAAGTTCAAGACACTCTTTTCCAAACCTGGTTTGCAGAAAAGCAACATCTCCCAGTCCATGTCTGTGCTGCCTACTCTCCAACCAGTTTCAGAGAGAGTTAGGCTTAAACCCAGTGGCTTTACATCACGATGGAGTGACGACGATGATGACACCTTAACTCCAGTGTCAGAGAGTAAGTATTTTTTTTTTGATAAGAGAAATGGTTTCTTAAAGTCTTCCGTGGCTTTCTAATTTCCAAATGCTGACATGGAATGTTGTGGTTTTATTAAAAATGTCCTTTGAAATATATTTTTCTTTATAATGGCTAAAACTAGATTTTAAAAAAATGAGACTGAGGTGAATAGAGGTGCCTTTGCGATTGTCTGTTATAATTGCCATTGGGTAAGATCCTCTGTCCCCAGTTTCAGTGTAGTAAGTGCTGCTAAGAGCTCCATAGCATTGAGACCTGCACTTTCACCATTTTGATACTGATTACTGATTTCACTTTTATCTTTTCAGAGCCCTCTACAAACAAGGATGAAGATAATGTCGTTAATCCCCATTCTGACATGTCTCATAAGAGAATGGGCAGTGGAGATTCCAAGCAATTGAACCAAATCATTACGAATAATTCCAAGAAGGATGTACATTCTTTATTTGGGGGCTTGAAGTCCAAAAATGACACAGTTCCCAGGTCCAACGTGTGTATTAACGGCAGCCATGTTTACATGGAAGAATGTGAATCAAAGAGTGATACCATTCCAAGAGACAGCACTCCATCTTCCCCTCAGACTTCCCAGCAAAAACATCACTTTTTGTCCCAGGAGAATTTGTGTTCTGAATCCAATAAGGAACTTGAAATCAGTGGAAGATTACCACCTGACAAAGGTCCACCTGTGTCTTCCTCACTAGAGTCCTTTAAAGCCATGACTTTGCCCTCATATAAACTACTTAATAGTGGAGATTTCCTAGAAAGTAACACTCCTGTGATTTCAGACACTCCAAAAGAAGCCAAAGAGAACAAAAAACAGGAGAACAAAAAGTCTGGTTTGCTGTCTCTTGTGACAGGGAAAAAAGAAGCAAAAGGCAACGAGGAGGCAGAGAATAGCATTGACACCTCTCCAAAAGTGAAAGAAGTAAAGCGTAATGAGAAAGAACTGCCAAGGAAGGAGATAAATCCTTTTGAAATCCCTAGCTCAGACAAGAGCAGTGCTACAGGGGTGCCTATTGCAAAGGCATCCCTGAACCCTTTTAATGAAAAATCTGAGGAAGAAGAAAAACCAGAAAAGAGTGCTGTTTCTGTAAAACCTCCGGAGACCAAGCGCATCAAACCCAGGTTAGTCTTGAGGTGATTGGCTCATTCATAGGTTATGTTGCATGGTGTGTGAACTTGGACCACTTGATTGTTCAGGAGTTGGCCCAACAACCAAAGCAGCCCCTGAACAATGCTATGGTCTAGCTTTCTTGCATAACATTGCATAACCTGCAACAGAGCCAATTGTGTGTTGTGCTGTAAAGCAGACAATGCACCCAGATGTCTGGACTGCCACCATTTTGTTATGTGTGAACCACTTGTGTGTCAATCTAGGAAAATAACCATGTGTCTGAGACAGGTAAGAATTCCCCCCAGGTTTGACAGCTGAGCCTTTGGCAAATGCACTTGTTTGATAATTCTTCAGCTGACACATGGGGCCTCTCTCTGTCTCCAGTAAAGGAGAGAGAAATCCCCCAGCACATGGCCTTCCGAATACACATGCTGTCCTCTGGTGGTTGCATACTGTGTAAATGCTCCTTTTCTTCTTGGCAGGAGGGAGCAAAACAGTCCCTTCACTGCCTCCTGAATGGAACCCTCTCTGCTAGGCTGTGCCCCAGGTGGCTGGACTGCTTTTTGTCTGTCTCTCTTTCTAGTACAGGAAGAGGAATGCAAAACCGGCTACTGACTTAACTGTGTTTGCCCACCTGACTAAAGACAGCTGGGGGGTCAGTCTAGCCACACTACTTCTGTAAGCTTTGCCAGGGAAAGTAGTGTAGCTAAGCTAGTTAATAGCTCTCCAGGTCAGCGAGACTGTGTCTACTGTGGTGGAGTTGTTAAGAGTGGGACTGGGACAGGCGATCCAGTCCAGTCATGGAGCTCACTGGGGGCCTTTGCGCCAGTCACAGATTCTCAGCCTAACCTTCCTCACAGGGTGTTGTTGTGGGGATAAGATGGAGAGCAGGAGGAGAAACCCACTCTGAGTTCTTTGTAAGAAAAAAGATGGGATAGGAAACCAATAAATGAATAGATAATATTGTCTGCATCAATATTAACTTGCATCCATCCCTTTAACTCCAAATGGGGGAAGGAGTAAGGGAACATGAAGTTGCTTTTCCTGGATCCTCCCTTTGTTTTATTGGGGAAGACTGCAATAGCAGCTTCAAGTCTGAGAGTGAGGAGGAGCACTGAGGGGGTTCAAACAGTTTGGGTGGCTGAATCAGAATGTGTGGCTCAGAATCCCTGATTATTTGCAAGGTTGTCTTCTAGTCATTGATAATGTGCTTCTTTTTAATATGTAAATGATTAAATAGTCAAGCAAGTTAATCTGCATGTTCAGAATACAGTGCTAACTGGACTTCAATGTTCATAATTGGTTTTTTTTGTGAAAAATACTGACTGCTCTAACTTTAAACTAATTTTCCCTTTTCTATAGTCTAACATAGTTTTGAAGCTGAGGTTAAATACCTTCTTGACAGTGTCAGTATACTCTGTTCCTTTCCATTTCAACAGGATGATTAAATTTGATATCTTTCTTCTGGATAAGATTTCATTTCTGAACAAAACCAGAATAGCAGAAGTCTCACAGTATTTTGCTCTTTATAACCCTTATGTCTTTGGTGCTTTATATATCTTGACTTTGCCACTAACTTTATCTGATACATTAACTGGAATTTTAAAATGTGCTGCACATTTCTTATTGCCTCAGTCTTTTTCTCTCCAATTTGCAGCATGTGCTCCTTTCCATCTTAAGAATTTTCTGCTGTTAAAGGGGTGCATGAGGGAGTGAATTTGGTTTACTAAAATGCTATGCATTTCTATCAGGGAGCAGCCTTATTAAACTTACCTCCAATTTGTTTCTGCCTGTCTCATGTTGCACCTGCAACTGACATGCAGGTTTTATTTTGTCCCTTTTTACAGACCAGACGTGTCTTCAGAGGATGAAACCAAAGCCACTTTTACTGTACCTGTACCTCCTCCTACTTCTCCTTTCTATCATTTCCATAATTCTAATAAGGAGAACAACCCCTTTACCTCTAAACTAGATGCAGAACCGAAAGCTCAGGACTCTGATAAGCTTGTTAGTAGTTCGTTAAATATTTCTGCACGTCGTGGCAATAACCCATTCACTACAAAATGGGGGCAGGAATCCAAAGAAAAGGCCTCTGAAAACTTGATGGTGGATTCTTTCCGCCTTTCTTCTTCCAGCAGTGAAAATAACCCGTTTTCTCCTAAATGGGGACAAGAATCCCAGATAGAAGATTCTGAGAACTCTGCAGAAGATCCCTTGTATTCCCTACACCCTCCTCCAGCTTCAGCTCTGGAGACATTTCCTTCTTGGCCATCTAATGTTGATAATCCTTTTGCCTCTGAAAACTTTAACAGGGCTCCTGAATCTTTGAGTTCTACCTCTTTAGCAGATAACTGTTATGATTCCAAGCACCTTCCTGTTGTGCATTTAGGGAAACCTCAAGCTGAAGGTTTAAACAAACACATAGATCCTGTTTCCAGTTTTACCAGATCTGTCTCTGAGAGTCCCCTTGCACATTTTTATGACCAAGCTGGAACGATACTGAAGACTCAGAGTGATGACAGAGTGCACACTGTACCTCCATTTAAAGAAAAAAATGGAAGAACAAAGAAGTCAGTGACTTTTGCTCTAGAAGAGTTGAAAGATAGTGATGATGCCGTATGTAGTGGTGATGAGACTTCAAATGAAGATAAAACTGAGAAATGGCATGATGAAAATGAGGATGTAGTAAATCCCAATGAAAGGAAGAGACTAAAACTGGAACTGGAGGTAGAGAGTTGCTCCTCCTCTAAGCCCCATGATGGGACAATAAATTCTTTTCCTAAGAATGAGAGCTCTTTAGAAAGAGAGGCAGAAGATACTCCCTCGATTAACGTAAAGCCACCAGTGCCAGCCCCAAGAATTCTCTTGCCTTTACATAAGGAAGCCAATATACCAAGTACTGAATTGAGTAACAATTCTCTTTCTGTACCACCTAAGCCAGCACCAAGAAGTGCTTTGAAACAAAACCAGAGTATACATCTTTCCCTGTCTGATGAATCAGAAGCAGAAGACATGTTGAGCTCATCACCTGTGTTTAAAGAATTCCCTCTCAACAGTTCAATTAACAGTGAACAACTAACCAGTACTTACTCATTAGCAGGTTCTGAACCGGCTATTCTTACACACGGAAGAAATGTTGGCACTACAGATCCTTCTCAAAGCATTAATAATCACTCTAGCCATGCAATAGGTGCACACCTTGGCATTTTAGCTAGTGGACAGCTGCATGTGAAACCTGTCACCCTTCCTGTTATTCCAGAGGTAGGTTCAGATGATGAGCTGCTCAGCAACTCTCACCAGGATGCTGAAGAGATGGCAGCTTGTGGTGATTTATCACATAGTATGGATGATTTTACAGAGATGCCGCGCACTGAGAAGAGAGAGCTGACATCAGATGAGAAGGCTACTGGTGAGAGGCAGACTATATCACTAGTGAATATAAGTGATCCTGATGATGCAGTTAAACCCCACGACCTACTGGTCGAATCTTCAGCAGTAGACCTTCAAAATGCAGATCACACATTGAAACAGAAGAATGGTGAGAGCTTTAAGGAAGATAAACGTGGTGGTTGTCCTGAGTTCCCTGATAAGCCTGTACCTCTTTCCCCTCTGTCCAGTTCTTTTCAGTCTCACTCTCCTAATTCACTCCAATCTGATGCCCTTGGCTGTAATAGAGCAGAAACTCCGAAAAAAGCTACAACAGAGGCTTTGGATGCCAAAGGGGAAATTTCTGGCAAGAAGAAGCTGCTTCAGGCAAGGGTTTCACCCTCTGAAACACATTCCACTCAGACTCTGCAGAGTGGTGGAACGTATCCTGCTAAGCTCAGGTGAGAGTTGTGCGGGACTAAGATAGAAAGCTCCAAGCGCCATGAATGGCTTTGTTCTCCCCCCGCCCCAAACAAAAACATAAAAACGAAAAGCAAAGCAAGATACTTTGCTCTTTTTGGTAAGCTGAAAAATCTAGATTCCCATTAATTTGGAGCAGTCTCTTGCAGAAATCTCAGTGAAGAAATAAATCTGAGCAATGCTTTATATAGTGTTGGCAGAATAGTCAGACATCCATAGTGCTGTCACATGAGTAGCTCATATACAGGGACCATTATATTTCATATATTTCACCTTGTAGTATTTTTATACAATCCTGTTAGATTGCTAAATTTGTTCCTATGTCTTTCCTAAAATAAAAGGTAGCTAACCTCTGATAAATAGCTAACCAGATTTTTAAAGGCTTTGCAGCTGTGAGCCTTAGATGCATTGTAATTTGTGTTGTACGGCTTTTGAGATTGAGCTCTGAAGTGTTAGGAGGTTCAGATTTAACTAAGTATATTTCCCAAGGTAAACCTTTAAATTTAACTTTCACTGAACAACATACATGTCAGAAATGTGCTGGACACTTGGACAATTGTAGAAATATCCAACCACATCTATTTTGCTTTATTGAACAAAAGAGCCAGTCATCATGATTAGAAAACTGAAGTAAAACTGGGAAGATTAAGGTTCAAAGCTGTGAACCTCAGCTATTTTTTTACCTTAACCTACCTAACGAGGTTGTGAGGACAAAATGGAAATGGGAGAACCGTGGATTCCTTTGAAGAAATATTAAATATGAATCTTCAGTATTGTATTTGAACCTAAAGCCATGTAGATCTGTTTATAAGTGAGAGCTGAAAAAATAGCTTGTTGCAATGAATGTAAGAACATATAGAAGAGGAAAATGTTCTTTAAAGACTTTGCTGAAAGGCCAGAGCCAACATTCAGGTATACACAGTGCTTCATGTTGAACCCCAAAGGAGAACAGTATCAGCAGCAGAACAGTACAATTTTCTTGTTCAGTTATACAACTGTAAGGTACAAAAGTATTGCCTGAACTAAATAGGATCTCTCTTTCAGACTTCAACCTGTGAAGCCAATGAATGCTACAACAAGCAAACCTGCAAAACCTTTGAGCATAACTACTAAGATGTTGGATAACCAAAATGAAATCAATTTAAAGGTACTTAAAACACAGTATGTCTGAAACTAATTGGATGTTCCATGACTTCAGTTGCAAAATACGCTTCTAGAAAACACTAGCTGATGGTGAAATTGTGCTGTAAAAGCATTTGTGAAGTATACTCAAGTTCCAGCTTCCTAAAACTGTAGTATAAGACTTGTTGGGTGTTAAAAGAAGTGTTTAACTTATGGACTGGACAGGTGCTTATTTGGGCACAAGAATATGGGTCAGTTCAATTTTTAGATCACTCTTTCCCACCAACTTACTTTCCTGTTGACGATCAGGAGGCTTTTTTTGCTGCAACCTGCTCAGCCTGTGCGTGGGTGTGAATTAGTACAGGCCCAGAATTTGCTGTCTTCTCCATAGGCTTTTGGCCTGAAATAATGTTCAAGAAGGCAGGGTTGAGTGACTCAGTGACCTGCTTTGCACATTGTAAGAACCTGTTAACAAACTGTGGGTTGTTGAGAAGACAAATGGAGAAGTGTGTGTGCGCCGCTTCCTGGTCTCCTGCCCCTTCTGCTGCAATAGCAGCCTAGAGATGCTTTGTCCATGGGTTGCTTATTACAACAGGGGCAGGTAGGACACGGGAATTAGCACACACACTTGTTGCTGGTCATCCATGGCTACCCAGGCTTTGTTTAAACAGTGAAGCTGTGATGCACCGCACCAGGTCAGTGGCTTCAGCTGGTATTATAGAATTATTCATTGGGTGTTTGGGCACGGACCTTGAATCATGATCTCATAACTGAGATTGTGAATACTGTTGATGCTTAGCACTTGTGTGGTACTTGGGGCATGTCTTGCCTTGATCATGCCATCTAATTTTTGCCAGTGTCAGAGGTCAAATGCCTATTGTTGAGGTCACCATTGTAATAGCTCTCTACCAAAATGACAAACTTCTTCTTTCCTTTTCTAAAGAAATACGACCCTTCAGATCCTGCTTATGCTTATGCTCAGTTAACACATGACGAGCTGATCCAACTGGTCTTGAAACAGAAAGATGAAATGGCAAAGCGAGATCTGCAGGTGCGAGAGCTGGAAGACTACATAGATAACTTGCTTGTTAGAGTTATGGAAGAAACCCCTAACATTCTTCGGGTTCAAGAACATCTGAACAAGAAAGCTGGGAAGATGTGAGATGACAGTTCACCTCGGACAAAACCTTTTTGCATATATTTTCAAAGTGGAGCATGTGTAAATGTTTAAACATCTCTTGCTTGTAGCAAAACAAAATATGATTCTCTTGTCTAGGAATAGAGATGATTTAGGCTATCATGGGAGGCTGTTAATAATTACATAATCCAAAATGACAATCACATTAAAAAACAAGCCTTTTAGTATACTGTACATGATTTGTTGTTTTGTTGAAGTTAAGGACCTGAAATTATGGGCCTAGGAGAAGTTATGAATCAGTTTTCATCTGTGAATAACTCTGTAACTGGAGCATTTTAAAAGGTTTATTTTAAAGTGACAATTGTCTTTCAAAAACATAAATTTCTCACATGTATTTTTAAGAGTATTAATTTAGTGCAATATAAACAATCATATGCTAATTAGAGTAGAAATACTAGAAGAAGTGCCTTACTTAGACTGAATTGTTGGGGGAAATCAATATTCTATCTGAAACCTGGATGCTTTTTAATTTACTTATAAGCAATATAATCCATTAGGAAATTCTGCTGAACTAGCTCTATTGAAGAACTGGCAGAGTGAGCTGTGTGGTTGAATTCTCATTTGTTTGGTGAAGTTTATGCTGTATATATTCACATCTGATTGTGCTAAGTTGCTTGCGTTTCACTTTACAAAGTTACTATCAAGTTAAGATGAAATAGTCTTGCATGTGAGCATTTAGGGCTCTTACACACAAAACCGACTTCTTTCTTGGAGTGATTGTCAGTTAAAGGAATCTAATGATTTTTGAAGGAGTCTTGATTTTTTTCTAATTGCCCATGATATAGTTGTAGCCTTTTTGTTCATTATTTGTTCTTTGTTGGATTTGATTTACCCTTTGTTTTATTTCATTTTATTGAGAATTAGAATGCTTTGACCTCTCAGATCCAATTCTTTTAGTTCCTTACAAAGTTTAGCAACTACTTTTAAGTTTCAGATTTTCCTGTTTGATCTTTGCATAGCACACCTACATTATTCAAAAGTTTACTTGGACATTATTGTTTTCTTTCTTCTCATTCAGGAAATTAGTCCAGGTAGCTTCCCGTTTGTGAACACTCATATGAAATTTATTCTCATAAACAGCTTTGATTTTGAGAAGTTTTGCATCATGCTGATTCAAATAATTTTCTGAAAATTTGTCATTTTAGAAGGGCTAAAATTCAGCAATCTGTTCATCAGGATAAAGGCATTTTTGCCATTATCTTTAAGTACTTACCCAATTTCTAAAGTATCTTCTTCCATTTTCATGCATCAGCCATTCCAGTTTCTAAAACCCTTCTTCCTTGCATTGTTGTGCAGAGTTGACCTCAGATTGGATAAGAAAGATTGGATAAGCTGTACAGTCACATTGAGGCTATTAATGCTAAATTTGCAGATATCCAACTGAAAACTGAGCAGAATGAACAAAACATAAGAGAGGTGGAAAACAAGACTGACAATATTGATAAGAAGACTGAAGAAATGAGTAAGAAAATACAACAGTTAAGCCAAACAAATAAGACATTATGGGACTCAGTGGCTATATTGGAGATGGACAAGGCATCTAACTACTTGAGACTACAGAATGTGCCAGAGACAAAAAATGAAGACTTAAATGACCTAATAAAGACAATGCTAGCTGATGCTCTTGGAGTTCAAAAGGAAGAGATTGACAAAGAAATTGATTTGGTGTATAGAGTTAATTTGAGCTATGTGAGAAGACATAAACTCCAGATAGAAGTTCATATAAAATTTACAAAAAGGTCTATGAGAGATGAAATTCTCAGAACTCTACATGATTGGCCATTACATGTTGGCCAAAATCAGATAGTTGCTTTCAAACAAATACCTTGGAGAATCAGAGAAGGACGGAAGAAAAACAGACTGCTAGAATAATAGTTAATGGAGAATTTACAGAGACTATAAATATTCAAAAAGGTACAAGACAAGGATGCCCCTTATCACCATTGTTATTCATACTGCTCTAAGAGGTTCTCAGCAGAAATGTCAGAAAAAAGATATAGATATTAAAGGAACTAGAATTAAAGATGAAAACTACAAACTCCAAGCATTTGTAGATGATTTAGTTTTCATCTTAGAAGATCCTGTGGTGACGGTGCCTAAATTACTAAAAAAAATAGAAGACTATGGAGAAGTTACGGGGAGGAAAATAAATATTTTGTTGATGATCAGCAAACAATGATCAGCAAACAATCAGCGAACAAAAAAATACAATTTTTTTTAATAAGGCTGAATAGCTAAATCTCTTTCAACCTGTAAGAATTCAGATTTGAGTTCATAGCTGAGCTTACTCATCTGCATTTGAATTTTGTTTTCACATCCCCCCCTGCTCCACCTTTCAGATTGCTTTATTCAAGAGAGTTTTCATTGTGGAACTTCAATCTCCATGTACTCAGCTGCAGTTTTTTGAGGCACATGTCATTCCTTAAACCTAGATGCTTAGCCAAAGCCAAATAGTTTGTTAGTGCCTCTGCTTTCCTAGGATTGAAGGTTCTTAACAGTCAGTCACCTTGCTTCTGAGTTACAAAAAGGAATGCTAGAAAATGTGAATAATGATTTTTAGCACATCCATCCCTATGATTCCTGTTAAAGGCTGCATTAGGAACATCAGTACTTCTGATATACATATATAGGATATGTGAAACAAATTGAATTTCTTATCAGTAAAAGAGTATTTGTGTGTTGTGTTGCACAAGCATGGGATAAATCCAGTTAAAGTATAGCACTTTTAAATTTCATTGAGCTTTTTTTATATATCCTTGGATAGGCTGCTCTGCTTATACACATGTTATTAGTTTATAAAGGATCGGTTTTAGTGGGTTCCATTATTAAACAATTCTTCCTTTATTCATTGTTATGAGTAAGATAGGAAAGTGAGGTTTTAATATGGGTGTTGACTGAAGAAAGAAACTGTAAGGCCAAGGCTTTAACAAACTTACGCTGTTTATGCACTCCTGCCTTCCAGCCAGTAAGAACTACTGTAATTTTAAAAGTTGTTTGGATCATTTAAGGTGAAAGTGATGAAAGGCAGATACCTCACAGTGATTCAGGTATTGTCTAAAGGTTCTGATGGATGACTTTTAACCCATAGTTCTTACTGTAGCTACTTTTCTTTATCTCCCATATGCACTTTACAAGGGGCATGAAGTTGGCACTGAACAGCTCTTCAGCCCTACTATTGCATTTAGTCAGGACACTGGATTATTATAAGTTTGTCTGCTAAAATCAAAGATCTTAACAATGAACTGTGCACTGTTAAGTTTTCTTGGTACTGTTTAATATGATACATGGTCACCAAAGAAGCAGACTAACGGCTACTGTACTGATTTTGTGAAAAGAAATGCAGTTCATGCAAGTTTGCAATACCTCTGCAATTATAGCCTTTAAATATTTTGTATGGATTTGGTGCAAGATAAGTCAGGCATTTGAATATGTTTGAACATATGGCGTGGAGTAAGGGATTATGTTGTCCTCCTGTTACCATAAATGGTGGCTGACGCTCACTGAATAGACCCATCCATCTGTTCTGCCTAGTGCAAATTCTATCCATGATACCCATTGATTGAGGCAGCTCATTTGCCTTGATTATAGAGTACAGCTAGAGCAGTGATTTCAAATGTTTGCAAAGAGTGGCCAAAATGGTCAGGGTCTGTGGACTTTTTGAATACCTCTGGCTTCATGAGTGGTACTAGCAGAGGTACATTTTCTGTGTAAAACCAGCATGTCAGAGCTTGAGACTTATCTTTAAAAACTGCAGTAACCTTTAAATAATCAAATTAAAGCTTTAAATGGCTCTGCATGCTTGGATAGGAAAAAAGGCTTACAACTCTCAGCATTCTTGAGCCAACGAGGTATAGGACTTTTTCTCCTGTCTAAACATGCATGAGACTGTGCTGCTTACTATTTCTGCCTTTTGAGCCAGCTGGAGCCATAGCGCAAAGTTGCATGCCTGCTCCTTTTGGAAATGGTTGCGATAGAAAATGGTATACATAGTGGCCATGGCTGTGGATAACTGCTTTAATATCACTCTCACTAGGAGTGGTTTGCCACCCTCGGGTAGGAGTTTTGTTCTAAAATACAACCACCCTGTGTTGAAATGGTATTAGCTATTTTAGTAGGGATTGTCCTGGACAGATTAGCAGTGGATTGAAGATACCTTCTCATTTATAACCTGATTTAAATTTTTGGATGATTGTGGCCTTCAGCTTGGCAGGTTGTGCATCCACAGAGTAACCATCAGTTCAAAATCAGGTAGCTGTTCCCCCATACAAAGATTTGTTCAGTTCTATACTACGATATGAGATTTGAGCAAAAGACAGTGAGGATAATTTCCTACAATCTGCCTCCTGGTTTGTAATTGTGATTTACAATCTGGGCACAGAAATGCTGAGTGTCTTGTTGAAGGGGTAGTTTGCATTCCCTTGTACATGCAGTTGCTCAGTGTGTACTATTGAAGGATTTGAATGTATATTTTTTATTTTCTGCCTGGTTATTCTTGGTACTTATCCTACTGGTTTTTATACAAAGACCTTCAGCCTCATGGAATGTTAAAATAAAGTTATTTAAGCTCATATGAACAGTTCTATTCTGGCACAGTTTTTCATTTTTGTTAAAAACCTGATAGTATTTAATGACACATGATTTAATGGCTTTAGCAAGTCAGTTCCCTAGTCTTTGGGTATGGAATGAATTTCTACTGTGCAATGACTGGATTTCATAACAGTGATTCCAGAGTTCAAAGGGAAAGAGCATTTGATGTGCTATAAACTTTACTGGGAGATAGGACAATATACTAAGCTTGATGGTCCCTTATATCAGTGGAAATGGTTTGTGGAAAGTAGGCATTCAAGGTTCATAGAAGCACAAGGCTGGCATAAACCTGAAAACAACCCTATCTTAATCCAATTGTATCAACTCCACCTCCTTTCTACACTCCACTGGGGTTGGGGAATTCACGAAGATGAAGCTCTGCAAGACAAAAATGTTTTGTTTCCACGTATTGAACTGTTGCTGACAGGAGTGTGTGTATGCTGGGCATGGACAGTCAGCATATCCAAATCTCAGATTTAAAACTGGTTTAACAACTTAATTTGGATCTTAGGTGTAATTGCCTGTGATCCTAATGACTACAGTTCATAATCACATGGATTTATATATCTGTTATTAAATACTTGCTCTGTAACAGGCCTATAGCCAAGATCAGTGCAGCCTCCCCTCATCTACCTCCTCACATACCCATTCTGTGAATGCTGAGAGAGTATTACACATTTTACTGGTCTTTCCCTTTCACACATCCATCTTTCCCTCCAGCCATCTAATAAGCCTGTCTTTCCCTAAAACTTTGATTTACTGTAGGTTAAATCCAGACTGAGTAGAATTCACTTCCGAGTGAAGCCAGTGGGGCTGAAGCAAATTCACCTTGTCCAATTGACTGATTTCTAAGGTAGTCTGGATCCATTCCCATATACACACACTACAATTGCCAGTGATTTTTTTTCTTCTCTCATATGCCCGTCCCCTCCATATATATGCAATAAATGGCTTAAGCCCTGGTTATCTAAAGGAGCGCCTGCACCCATATGCCTACATGGCCTTTAAGACCAATGCAGGGGGCCGCCTTAGGTGAGCCATCCCTTAGGATGGTGAGAGGGATGGCTGCTAGGAAGAGGGCCTTTTCTGCTGCTGCTCCCCACATTTGGAAGACCCTCCCTAAGGAGTCACCTGGCGTCACCTTTATACTCTGTTTGGCGCCAGGTAAAGACCTACCTTTTTAAAAGACATTTTAAATATCTATTAGTCACTAATCCTCCAATTGTCTTAATTTAATGCAATTTTATTAGGTTTTATGTTTATATTAACTTAAGTCATTGTTTTATAATGTATTTTAATTGTCTGATGTGAGCCACCTAGAGAACCAGGGGTGAAATAGGTGGCACAGAAATGTAATTAATGTATGTATGTATGTATGTATGTAACAGCAAGGCTTTGTCACAAGCACCTGTTTGTTATACAGGCGTAAAGACAGAATTGGGTGCTTCCAACAAGGCCTCGATATGAGCAGACAAATGTTTAGTGAATATTTGGCAAAGTGTGACAATGATCAAGGTTATAACTTGACAAAAACAAACATTGCCCTGCCCCAGAGAATGCTGCAGTTGCTAAGCATAAGCTTCCTCCCCTGGGCATTTCCATGATGTGAACGTCAGTAGGAGCCAATAATATGCTGTTTACTGACTTGAGCCAGATTGAAAGGAATGTCTTGCAGATTCTAGCAAAGCTTTTGATTTTTCTATAGGGCTCTGCCCTTTGCTGTCCTTGATTTCACAGTTTGACAACATTTGATAGGCTACACCAGTTGCTAGATCATCCTTCACCAACCTGGTGTTCTCCAGAACATTTGAGCTTCACCTCCCTGTAGCCCAATCCACTGCTGGTCTGTGGTCCTGAAGGCAGGGAGTTGTTGTCCAATCTAGAGGGCACCAGGTTCAGGAAGGCTGTTCTAGATGTTTCTTTAATGGTTCGATCAGATTGATAAATTGACAGCTGTGAATATGATCAACTAAGACTTGGTCTGAAGTCCTGTGTTAGAAGACTTGTGGCTTTGTGTCAAGAGCTCCCCTGTGAGGTAAAGCAGAGCCACTGTAATGCACCAAAGCCAATTTGGAAATACTGTGATGGAGACAGAGCAGGAAGGAACTGCATCATCGGGCCTCATGTGAAGGGCATGGGAAACATCTAGTGTGACATCTGTGACGTCTCCATGACATTGTTTAGGAAACTTGAAACAGAAACTCCCTCAGCTGGTGATTCATATGAACAAATACAGGTGTTTTTCAAGGGTGGAGCTTTTATGACCTCGAAAGTTGTATCTGTTACAATACTGATACTGCTTCATAGCATCCTCAGCACAAAAATATTCCAGAATCCGATCGCCATGTTTCTTTTTTGTTTTAACAGACTTACTTCTTATGTATTATGCTTTCCTATATGCATTAACAAGTGGGGTGGGAAAATAGATTATACCAAGTCAGCTGTTCAGATCCAAACTTCCTTTTAGCTGGTCAAAACGGGTATCTTCCATGGCCAAGTGATGAGGGTCAGGACATTCCCCTGGTGATTCAGCACCCAAGTGTGCTGAAGCAATGGCCTGCTTATATAATGGCTATTGACCCAACAACCCCACCCCTGCCTGAACAAACTTGGATTGCTTCAAATAGCTATTCAAGAGGGTTGCACCCATTGAGAGTTGTAAGTGCATGATTTATGTGTGTGTCCTGCTGCTAACTTCTGCATACAGGTCTGTGTTTCTTCATCATGCAGATACAAGTGGGCACTACAGAGCATTGCTGAAGTGTGAGATCTTCCTGCTGGCTAGATCTTCCTCCATGATAATCCATTTCCTCCCCAGCCACCACCACCAGTTAGCAAGTAATAGTACTCTGCACTTTTTTTAGGGTCTCACCCATTAAAGATCAATTGTATTTCTGCAGATCTCAGAGCTCTGTGGAAACCTACTGCTTGGGCATGGGCAGTTCCATTTTGTCTATACGAACAGGGCCAAACATTGGGAGAGATGATGCTGGGTTTTTTGCTTGATTTGTTTTGAACTAACATACACAGAGGCTGACCTAGAAGGCTTGTAGTCGTATCAGCCAACAGTTGTACAGCTTTTTCTCAACTCCCCCATTTTTTTGTGAAAAGGGAAAAAAGTAGAACAAGCAGCGCAACATGGAGAAGGGTTACAAGAGAAGATGGCATTGCCCTGATTAAATTTCATGGATGTGGCAGGGCACTAGTGCAATTGACCTTTTTCTGGAAGCACCCACCCCTAGAAACTTGGCATGGAATATATTCAAGGCATGCAGGATAAAGGCTAAAGTATTTGGTTCAAAGTACAAGTAGAATGTCATATAATTAAAAATGGGTGACTTACACACATTTAGTATATCTATGTCCAAATTTAGTATTTTTTCCCCAATGGGGTTGTGACTTATAAAATGTACACATTTAAAAAGTGATAATAGCTATACTGCTGATGACATTCCACATTCCACCTTTTGTTTCCAAAGAATATCTCCACTTCAGAACATAGGCATCATACAAACAACTTTTAAAAGCAGTAGAAAATCATGTTTCAAAGTGTATGAATCCACTGCCTCCATTATTAATACACAGATTGAGGATATGATATTGCTTGGCAGCTATCTATAAATTCATTCCACTGAAGTTGGAGATACACAGTGGCATGTCCAAAAATATGTCTTATCCTTTACCCATTTTTCCTATTAAACAGGTAGTTGGGAGAGAAGAATTGTCCGCGCGATCCTACCTCCCTGTCCCCAACACACACACTTTTGTCAGATGCTTAAAAGAGCTTCTCTGTAACACGGTAATTATCACAGTTGCACTTTTAATGGCAGTGTTTGTTAGGTTCTTTCTTATTCTTGCAAAAACCCTGAGATGGTGATCTCACAACTGTTCCTATTTTATAAGGGAAGTCTAACCTCCAAGGAATACTTCCAGATCACCCGTTAATAAAGGGTAGGGCAATCTGGAGCCTTCTAGCTGTTGCCGGACTAGCATTCCTACCACTCCTTGCTATTGACCATCTTAGTTGGGAACACTGGGAGTCAGAACCCAGCAATATCCGGACAGCCCTGGGTTCTGCTCCAACCTCACTTATTTAATGTATATCCCATCTTTCTTTCATGGGAGAACTCAATATGGAAACTATGACCATATTCAGACCTGCTTAACTTCAGCCAGGTGGCTGCCTCATACACCTTCAGGCCAATACTGGAGACCCTGTATTTAATATATAAGTAATGCCTGGAGATAAATGGAGGAGAGAATGGTTCCATTTCCCTGCCATGGGTACAGTGCCATTTTATAGGCTGGGCTCTCATTTGTATAGTTTGCACAGCCATAGGCTAGGGCTTCAAGGTTCCTTTGGGCTCCACGACTGCAACATGAATCAGCTGCTTAACACCTTTGTCCAGTCTTCAGGCTGCAGCAGCATTTGCTGGCCAGTTTCCCGGCTACAGAGAATGGGAAGTGTAAAACAAGGACACCACCTGCTGGTTTATACTTCATTTGTGATCACTTCTTAGCTGAATTTCATCCCCTTGCATGCCATGTGCAGGTCCTCATGGCAGGGTGTAGTGGTGGGATGCAAACATTTCCACAGCCTCATGTTCTCCCTGTGAACTCAATAGCTGAGAGATGGAGGCTTGAGCCATTTCAACAACACTTTAATTCTGATGGCCACAGCTTTTCTGACATGGCAACATTTCCTACAGAGCAACTACCTGTTGGTTGTATGGACTGGACATGTCGCCTTCTAGAATGATCTTGCAAGTGGGATTTTTTTCCACAGCGCTATAAATCTGTACCGATCAACTTGGGGAGGGGACTGTGCTCCAGCTCCTATACCATCACTGACAAAGGCTGAAGACAAAACGTTTACCAGAAATTAGATAATAAAATATTTATCCCTGTTTTACCAATTTCTTATATATGAAAAAGCTTAATTCAGAATTGTATTCAGTCTTAGGCTCCTCAGCACAAAATCTGACTAGCCACAATGTTAGAATAAGTTTTCGAGAAAAGGGTGTTGTGTCTTGCCCAAAAAGCCTCCACTCCAAACACAGGGTTAATATTCATGCAAGGCAAAACAAGTTACAAAAGCACATTACTGCATCTGTACAAACCTGCCACTTCTTCTTTCCTCCTCCTTTCCACAGAAACGTATCTCTGAAAGGGACATACCCAAACACCACACGATCATAAATGCGCAAGTTGGGACAGAATGAAGTCCTAAGCTTCCTGCATTTCTCCAGCCTGTAACTTCAGGTCAGCCCTTTGTCCGAACGAGCTGAGAATACAGAACGCATAGACTGAGCGAACTCACCCGGAACCTTTCTCTTTCGCTCGCTGTTTCTGCACGGGAGCATTTAGGGATTACGACGGTCAGAGCAAGACAACAGTGGAACCAGCTGCCTGGAATGGCGGTGGGCTCTCCCACACCGGAGACATTCAGAAAGAAACTGGGCAGCCCTCTGAGTGGGATGGTGTGAATTGGTGTCCTGCAACGGCAGGGGGTTGGACTCGATCGCCTTCATGGTCCCTTCCAACTCTTCTATGACCAGCCGATTGCCCTGTTGCTTTGGCAATTGTCCGGAGGAAGTGCGTCCCACGTTGAAAGAGCTCTCCCACGGCTGTTTCCGGTTACTAGAAAGGTGCAGGTGGATGAGGGGAAGAGCGGTTGATATGTGGGTGCAGTGGAGAAAGGGAGACTGCTGGAGGTGTTGGAAGTCGGACATTTTGGCTGTGCAGCGGCTCGGGGATAGCCTTCTACATCGGCCGTTGTTTCTTAGCTGGCAGCTTCCTTCTCGCGTTCTGTTTCCCAGGCGAAGTACGTTGACGCTGTTCAGAGACAGCTTTAGACTGTGGAGGAGTTTGTCTCTTTCTCTGAGCTATTTAAAATGGACGTTTGTGTGGATCGTTTAGTTGATAACTCTCATTGCCTTCAGTAAAGGCTGTAACTGATATAGTATGAGGCAGTGTGGTATAGTAGTTATAGTGCCAGTCAGGTCCCTGCTTTCGAATTCAGGAATTCGGGAGGCTCGGGTGCAAATCGGTCTCATCTGGCCCATCACCTTGAACAGCTCTCTGTCAAATCTTAAGTCACTGGGATGCTGTCAGGATGGAATGGGAGTGGGGAGAGCATTGCGTGCTGCTTTGAGGAAGAACTAGATGTAAATGAAATAGAAAGGCATCATTTTATATGAAGACTACTAAGTCTGTTTCTAAGTTAGGGGCAGTTTTATTTCCATGTTCAAGAAAAAGAAGCACCTGTTAGCATTGTCATCATGTAAACATGTTAGTGAGCCTAGGCAGAGCTTCCCACTGAATATTTGGTAGTGCTTGATTCCTAGCCCACCTGCTGCAGAATCCTGGCTGATTTTTGTCATGAGTCACAAATGTTGACAACCTAGTTCACTTGGTTGATCAGCCCTTAAACAAGCTTGCACTCGGTTCATAGGTCACACTTGCAGCCTGTGACCTGGCTGTTAGTAGGTATTTGAAATGAGAGGAGTGTATAGCATGTTCTAGCGATGGACTTGGTTTATGCTTTCAGGCTGCTAAGATGTCAAGCCAGAAGAAGTGCCCAGACTGTGGCTCCTTGGAAATTGTAGAAGACTCTCACTATGCTCAGAATCAACTAGTGTGTGCAGACTGTGGCTGCATTCTGACTGAAGGGCTTCTTACAACCACATTTGCTGATGAAGAGCATTTACAAGGTATGATGGAGAATAGCAATATAGCTCAAAACTCCTGAAGTCTTAAGTGCGGAGCTGTCCTGTGTGGCAGTGGAAGGAGCAAAGTTAAGCAGGACTCTTAAGCATATTTACTTAGAATCAAGACCTATTGAAATCCATGGCGTTCACTTCTGAAAGCATCTCCGATGAAAGCATTTCTGATGCTGTTTGAGTGTTTTCTTGAAAATTTCCTCAAGGAAGGTGATTCCACAATGTTTGTAGGCAACATTTTCCATGGTTGAACTTGGGTGGAATTGTATCACTTCCCTCGAAAAATCAGGGACACCATCTGGCGATGGGCCCAGACCTGGCTTTGTTCTTGGATTCCAGCTTGTGAGAAGATCTCCAGATCTTGGTCTTGGTATTCTGAGAGGAAGGAAAAAGGGAGAGAATAAAGAAATATCTAGAGAACTGAGGTCTTCTCTGTTAGGTCACTAAACAGTGGTATTTTCTTCTGATAACATACTGAGCAGGAGATGGGCACAGAGGTCTTATGATTCAGAAGCATTTTTCAAATATGCTAACCCTGCACCATTCAAGGTTTTATCATTCATGACATTGAGAACTCTGAACAAAATTTCCTTTGTCTGATGTGTACTTGTGTTTATCCAGAAGTGGCATATTCACGCAGTACTGGCCAGAATGAGGAACTGGGCCGCTGTGTGCAGCGTGGTAAGTGTTTCGCTTTACTGCTTAGTATCATTTGTTGCTATTCATGCCTTGTTAAATATGGCAGTTAAATTGCTAACCACTGCATGGTAATCACATAATCCCAATGCTAAAAGATCTGCAGTGGTACCCAGTTGTTTTCCAGATTCAAGTTCAAAGTGTAGTTTTTAATTTTTAATACTCTACAGGGCTTAGGTCTGAGAGGCCACCAACCTCCATATGAGTCTGTTCAGTTATTAAGATCATCAGGATAGGATCTTTTGATTATACCTTTGCTTGTAGAGGCTCCACGCAGAAAAGAGCTTTCATTTATGTTGCTGTCAAACTCTAGAATACACTCAGTTTAGAGGTGTGACTAGTCCGTGTTCTCACATTCAGGAAGGAAGTCAAAATGAATCTTTTAATTTGACTTTTTAAAGTTTTGTTATGGTTTTGTGTGTTTTACTATATTTTTGTTTTATTATGGTTTCCATCCATTTATTTGAAATGTTTGTAAACTGCCTTGGTTGGCTTCCAAAAGACATCCTAGAAATACAGTAGACAAACAGGAACAAACAAAGAACTTGTGGAAATCAATGTGGTTGTCATCCTCAGACGCTGCACTTACTCCCTTTCTAAAAACAAGGGGACTTGACATTTCAAAACTAACACCCTTGCCCCTGTGCAGATTTTCTTCTTCTCTGTTTCAATGCATAGAGCAATTTCCCCCAACAAATAGACCTCAAGATGTTTTGGACTACAATTCCCAGGGTTCCTGACCATTGGCCATACTGGAGTTGAAGTCCAAAACATCCAGAAGGCACCAGTTTGGGAAATATTGGAATGGAGGCCGAACTTGTTTTCTGATCTGATTGAATCTCAACTCAAAACATTTAGGATGCAATCTGAATGCACCAACAGCAAAACAGCCTGCAGCTTCCAGAATTATCTAGGCAGCCATATTGTTTGGGGAATACGGGAAGCTTTAAGGAACGTTTTCTTGTCTAACCATAGGCAGGATTATGTCCATATTGAATAAATGTGGACCTTGCATCTTCAATGGGGTTTATCCTTATAGGTATAGAGCCAATATAAAATAGATGGACCTATTATTACAGCAGTGCTAAAAAGGCAGGGGGGAGCAGGTGGGAAGTCATGGATGACACAAAATGTCTGATGGGGAACAAAACCCCACATTACAGCATAGATGCCAAGTTAGAATAGCAGTACCAGCTGTTGTCTACTGAAGGCTGACTTCTTGCTTGAAGTGATCTTCATGTATAGCTAGATGCATGCAAAAAAAAGGCCTGCCTGCAGATGGAAAATCACTGATAACTGTGTGTATGGAGATGTGGCTTAAATACTGGTGTGGTATTTTCTCCCTCAGGGATCAGGCGTGTCCGGGATCTTTGCAAAGTGCTCCGGCTTCCTTCTTCATTTGAAGATACAGCTGTGTCCTATTACCAACAGGCAATGAAATGCCCCTGCTTTAGTTTGGTTAGCTTGGAAAAGAAAGAGATAATAGTGGGTTGTTGTGTCTTTGTGACCTGCCGGCAACACAACTGGCCTCTCACTATGGGTACGGTCTGCATGCTACTGTATGCAAACAAAGAGCTGTTTGCCACAACCTACTTGCGCTTCTTGAAGGAGCTGGCACTGGATGTACCTGCACTTAGCTTGATAAATTTGGTGAAAACACACCTCAACAGGTATGTTGGAGTTCCTTAGCCCTGTCAAAGTGGGTGTGTAATTGCTGCGGAAATATCAAGACTTTTAGGCATGGAACTTAGTTTCCATGGTATCTTGGCCTAGGGACATGATTGTGTTTGGATGAGTAGCTTCCTGAGAACCCTGTAGTTACACCGGGTGTATCTAATTGCCCCATAGCACATACTCTCTGGATAGCTCACAAAGTACAACATTAACATACTAAAAAAGCTGCCAAATCAAAATAAATAAAACATGTCTTTTAGACTGGGAGTCTCAGTTCAAAATCCACCTGTTATTTAAAAGGGAGTGTATGTGGTCTAGTGGTTAGACTGTTGGACCGGGACTTCGAAGATCTGCATTCTAGTCTTCAGCTGACCCAATTTTGGGCTGTTCACTGGCTCTTTGCAAAACTTGGGTCTTGGGGTTTTTGTGATGAAACAGTGTAGAGGAAGTAGACCATATAAATGTAATGACAAATGGTTAAAATGGCCTTGGGTGAACAGAAAGATCTTACAGAGTACCTTGCCTACAGGGTGGGGGACAATAGGATGGCATTCAATGCAGACAAGTGCAAGGTCTTGCACTTGGGGAATAGGAATGGGTGTCATACGTACAGGTTAGGGGACAAGTGGCTGGAGAGCAGCACTTGTGAAAGCGATCTTGGGTTACTGGTCAACTGCAGGCTAAACATGAGTCAGCAGTGTGATGCGGTGGTCAAGAGGGCGAATGCCACCCTTGGTTGCAAAGCCAGAAGTGTGGCTTCTAGATCAAGAGAGGTTTGACTGCCACTCTGTATGACTCTGGTGCGCCCACAACTGGAGTATTGTGTTCAGTTCTGGGCCCCTCATTACAGGAAGGATATAGCCAGGTTAGAGTCAGTGCAGCGTAGGGCCACAAGGATGGTGGCCGGATTGCAGGGAAAGCCATATGAGGTGCGACTGGGAGAACTGGGTCTTTTCAGCTTGGAGAAGAGGAGACTCCAGGGGGATCTGTTGGCAACATGTACATATGTGAGGGGGTGTCACATGGAGGTGGGTAGAGACCTGTTCTCCCCTTGTCAGCCATGCCCAAATTCCATATCTTCTTGTTACCAAATTCCGTATCTTCTCAAATCCTGGTTATTATCATGAAGATGTGAGAATTATTTATTGCACAAAGTACAAACAAAATTTAAAGAGGGTACTAACCTGAAAGAAGTTTAAGCCTAGGTTTACCAGTAGGCAACATACAGCTCTGGCTGTGTGATGCTGTTAAGGGAAGCCTGTGCAGCTTAAATACCAGCCTGCCCTTCACGCATGCCAGAAATGGAGCTGTCTGTCTACTTTCCTAGAATGCTGTAGTTTCTTCATAGCATCTCTTCTGCTACTTGGCAAAAGCCATCTATGTAAGTGCCATGTTGTTCTCATTCCAGCTTCAAGCTTTTCCAGATGTCATCCAACATCCCAAACAAGTTTGTGGAGGACAAAGAGCAGCTCTTGGCAAGGACAGTCCAGATGGTGGAGCTTGCTAGTGAGACATGGCTGGTGACTGGCCGGCACCCCATTCCCATCATAACAGCAGCAGCCTTCCTGGCCTGGCAGTCCTTGCGCCCAATTGATCGCCTCACTTGTTCCCTTTCCCAGTTCTGTAAACTTGCTGGAGTGGACACACCACGGCCAGCCCACCAGAGGCTGAAGGAGATGCTTCAAATCCTCCTTCAGATGGCTTCTCAGCTGAGCTGGTTGCAAGTGCTCCAGGTGAACAGGAAGAACGTAGCCAAGTACATTGGCGACTTGCTGCGTCATCGTCGTGTGCTCCTGCGGGCTGCATTCCGTGTTGTGGATACCATTGAAAGCTGCAGTCCTGAAAGCTCAGCCGCAGCACCACTGCAGCGTATCGAAGGGGGGGTTACAGCAACAGGAGAGATGCCGAAGTGTGGCAGTGAGCGGGCACCCTTGCTCCCACCTTGTGTTCTGAACCCCAAAAAGAAGCTCCGAACTGCCGATCCAGGTCCTGAGAGTTCTGCTATTACTGGGGATGAGCCTATTCTAGACAGTGAGATAGAGCAGTATATCCGAACCCCGGAAGAAACAGAAAGGATCAGCAGAGCTCAAGCCTGCCTACAACACTGACTTGGAAGCGATTCAGCACTATGTGACCCCCAGTGGCACAGGTCTGGTCCCTCATGTTTGTGGTTCATAGTTCCCCAGCTGTCCCATCCAAGGTGGGGATAGGCAGCCAGTGGCTTTCCAGACATGCCTGGACTGCAGCCCTGATCACCCCTAGTCAGCCTAGCCCTCCAGAGGAGGACAGGAGTTGCAATCTGAGAAAATTTGAAAGACCATGGGTTGCCCACCTCTTTTGGCTGATCCTCTTCTGTCCTAGATGATCTTCAGATAGCACTGCCCTCTGCCACTCATAGCCAGAAGGGCCTGTTAGAACAAAACAATAGCCTCCTCTTAGAACGTTAACTGCAGAAACCCTCAATGTGCATCAGTGCCAGTAAAGGTGGATTGAAACCTAATGTGCCTCTATCACATTTCCAGTCCTTGGTGGGGAGTTTGTTACTGGAACAATTTGCATTTCATTCTTGTTTTGCAGAGTAGCAGCCTGCCTATGTTCAAAGGGCTTCGTTTCCTTTTGTAATGGACTGTCCAGCTGTAGAATTTGTTCATGTTGCCACAGAGGCTCTCAAGCCCCTCAGGCATGGTCCCTTCCCACACTGCTTTGGTGACATTGGAAGAGAATTGTTTATGTGATGGGTATGATTAACTGTAATATGCCCAGACTCACCTTTGCCTGGAGCCCAGCGACACTGCTGTTGGAAGTAACTTCATCAGTCAGCCTGAAAATGATTATTTTCCTTGGGTTCTTTCCAGTATGGACGGAGCCAGGCTGCAGTGACTGCTTTGCCATTTAGGGCAATATATGAATGGGATAAAAGTAGCAGGTTAGTGCAAATATCTTGGATGAGAAGCAGCTGCCTATTCAACCTTAGCCACCAACTTTTGCTTCATGATGTCCTTGTTGCACCTGCGTCTCTGTGGGGCAAAGGAACCAGAAATGTGGTGGGCAAGAAGTAGGCCAAGTGGAACAAGTTACAGCTTTTGGAGGGAGTGTCTTGAGAACCTCATGTTATCTCTGAGAGGATAGGTGTGGAAAACCTCTGTTTGAGCACACTACAGAACCATGTTTCTGCACACTACAGAACTGTGAGGAACCCATGGCATCCAAAGACTGAATACATTGGCTTCTGCACATCATACTAAGAGAGTAAGACAGATGAGTCAGTCCATTAACTCTCTGATGGTGCTGTTTACATCCACACACACAATTTTGTGGAACAAGCTTTCTAAGTCATATGGAGATGATAGAATTGATTTGCTTGATTACTTGAATTCGTGCTGGACACAAACTGATGAACTGCTATGCTTCATTACTGCCAGACTTGAGAAAAACCCGACGTTATGACTGACTGGTTATGGTGTGTGTGTAGGTTGTCAGAGCACTGGAAGAACAGGAATGCAATTGCTAACTTATTGGATGTTGCAAATCTTTAATATATTAAACAAGAAACATCTGCTAGAAACAGTTCATTTATATAAAATGCAACCCCACCCAACCCTATTAAACCCTTTCTTTGGCACAGTTGTCTCTCAAAGAGCTCTCTGTTTTTGATATGTTATTTGCTCATAATGTAAACAGATGAAAGAAAGGTAACAATACAAAGCTTTTCTGATAATAGTGTTTCAGTGTAGCAAGCATATATAACAAGTTTAGCATTGCCGATATCATGTGGATTGTAGTATCAACATATAAATGATTTAGGCTTTATTAAATATAATACATGTAAAACCAAGGATTTTTCATAGAAATGGGAAAGGAGGAGGAAAGATTGTTACGCTAGAGAGAGGGAGGCACTTGTCAAACTACTGCAGTTGCAAAAACAGGTGATGGAGTAGGAGGATCCGCTTTTGGAAGGTGCAGGGATCGAGAAGGATTAAGTGCTTTATAACCCTTTAATGGCTACAACTCTCCATGCCTGCTCTCAGAGCTGCTATGGATGCTAGTGTAGGCCTATGGCTCTGTCTGCATGACTTGCGACAGCAGACCATGCAGATCAATCCTTGAAGTTCTTCGGAGGTAGGTTTTGTACAGGCAAGGAGACTGCTACTGCTGGCAAGTCAACATATGGAAGTTTGCCTTCTCGCCTGTGTTCAGAGTATTCTATGTTTTCTCTACCCACTGAATGTCATACACTGGATTTTTAATGAGTATGGGGCAGTAAAAGTAAAGAAAAAATTAGACGTGGAAGAAAGTCTTGCATAGTATTTACATAACGAGTATATAATTCTTATTTGTAGTACAGTCTTTCCTCCATCCAAGACTATACTTTTGAAAGTGAGATCTCTCACTTTTCTAGCCAGCACTCAACCAGAAATGATTGTTCAGAAGAACAGTCTGTGCATTCTGCTGCTGCAATTACTGTAGTGATTGTGCTTTTTTGGTGTCAGGTCAAGACCTTTTTACTTGTCCATACTTTTAATGTTTAATTTTAACTATGTTTTTATGCTCAGTTTGTGGATCCTTTGTATTATTTGGGTATCTATGTATTTATGGGATTTGAATTGTAAGCCGTCCTGAGACTCACTGGGTATTGGACGGGGTAAAAAATACCCAAATAAAATAAAATAAATGTCCTACTAGCAGCTGTTTCTTCAGACTTGTAAGTAAGACTGCAAATGTCACTGTGAAAAAATTACTAGCATTGAAGTAGTAGGTTCATTAAAGATAATGTTAAAAATGGCTTCACATACTAAGTGGACTGTTAGAGGGAGGACAGAAAACCTGTCAGCCTTTGGAAGCTGAGTACCTCCTCACATTCACGTTGGAATGCACACCTAACAAAGAGGAAAAACCACAGCAGGGTTAATTCTGCATCTCTTTTGTATAGGCTCTTGCACTGTTCCTGTTCAAGAGGATCCTTTGAGCCGATTGCATAAAGAAAGGCATGTTGCTTTTCTGAAACAGGAAGAAGGAACTCCCACTTATGCTTAGCTATAGAAGCTGCCCTACAACAGTCTGCAAGGAGCAATGTTCCAGTGTGTGATGCACAGAGTCTGCAATGAAGAATGTAGGTGATGGTGCTGTAAGTTGTAAGTGTTGGTGCTATAGTGTTGATTTTCCACAGCATCATCAATTTCACACAACCTGTGGAGTAGCTGGTGCCAAACTCCCTTAATTTTCCAGGGCTCCTTTTCACTTTGCTGCTTCAAGAAAAAAGGCCAATTCTGCAGCCTTCTCAGTCATTGGTGCTGACAGCAGTCTCATCTGGATGTGATTTTGGTTCATGCATGTGAAGAGAAAGCCCATGCATTTTCTTTCTCTAAACAATGGAGGATCTATGCCAGCACTATGTGGTCTAGAGTTATAGTGAGATTCTTTGTTTTATTTTGCAAAAATCTGGGTGTGATGTTTATACAATCCAAATGTTTTGCCAATTGCCTTTGACCCCCACCCCCCGTTCCCCACTTTTTTAATTTAGCTAGTATGTGAGCCTGTTTGCACAATGCATTCAGTAGGATTTAAAGTATTAATATACCATTTCTAGCTCTTGTCCCCTGCATCCCCTGGAATCATGTAGCATTCTCCAAGAATGTGGACATTGAGATATGGATTCATAAATAGGGGGAGCAAAGCCAGGAGACAAGAATGTTCTTTCCCAAGATGTAAACTTGCAGCCATGACTAGATTAAGGGCAGGTGCCTGTCTCTGAACACATTGGGTCCTTGCAGATGAACGGACAGAATATTGCCATAAACAAAACCTTCACCCATTACCTCATGCAGACAAGTAAGCAATGCTTTTCATATCTCTTTGCATAGTGCATGCCACTTATTTTTACTATTGGTCATTTTTCTTATAGCTGATACAAGAAATCATAGTTCAATGATGTTAAAGTATGGCTTTGATATTGATTTAACCCCATAGGGCTAAATATTGTCTCTGAAGAGACAGCTAAGCTAAACAACTCTGTGTGTGTCTATGACAGAGTGATCCCTTCCTGTCTACTTCCATTCTGAGGGCCTTTGTCACTCAGTGACATATTCACTGCCCATCTGGCTCTGGTCAGATTTTGAAACTGCATAACCAAGAGAAGAGATGAAGCAGAAAGGTCAAGCTCGTGCCACTAATGAGCTGCACATCTGGTGTGACTTCAGGCTGGTCGTGTCCACTTTGACCTTCTACTTTGTAGAGTTTTTTAACACGTAAACCCTAACTCCATTCCAGGCGCAGGAAAGCAGCTCAGTGAATGCAACCGGTTACCTGCTTGTACCCTGCAGTGTGATACTAAGAGCAGTTGCATCTGAGTTATGCTGCATCAGAGACTCTAGAAGCTAACTGAGAGGAATTTTAAAAAAACCCTGCAATATATTTGCAGTTCCTTTAAGGAGTCAGAATCCCTTGGCAGTGTACTACAAATCATTCATCCATTTAATGTCCATTCTATCTACTTTCTACCCTAGTTAGCCTTCAACCTTTTCAGAGATTAGGCACACCTTTAAACCTAATCTATGACAACAGGGCCATTTTTAAATATTGTTTGAGCCCTGTGTCCATTTTGCTATCTTTAAGGTGACCAGGTGCAAAAGAAAATAGCAGGGCTGCTGATGAATGGTGGGAGGAGATACGGTTTTGTTTGAGGGGAAGAATTGCTGCTTTTGTAACTAGCTGCCCTAATTTCACCTTTTCCAATATGATCTTGATGAAAAGAAACCATGACAAAAAAATAATGAGGGTAGCACTGGTGGAACCCACCCTAGGCCAAGGTGTGACATACCAGTTCAAGACTGGTAATTTTTCCCTGTCTTCTGAAATCACAAAAAAAAAAAAAAAAAAAAAAAAATCACAGACTTAGGGACCTGAGGTGAAATAGTCTGGGGAATAATACATTCTTACAACCTGAGTTCTTCCTTGGCCTTGCAAAAGGGAATAATAAGAAGAGGATCTCCAGTTTCTTCTTATTTTAAGACTTGGCAAGGAGTGAGTCCTTTGAGAAAGGACCAAGGAATCACTCAGCTGTCGCCAGCTCCTTTCTGATGCGGCAAACTCAACATGAGTTTGATCAAGTGGCTGTTTAACAGCTTGGAGAAAAGAGGGGGTGCCTTTTCATGACCGTCATATGAAAGGAAGAAAATATTCCAAAGGGGCTTCATGCTGCGGTACGTGCCCCCCAATCCTTAAAGGATCTGTTGATGTTGTGCCTCCAAGGCTTCTTTTTCAGAGATAGTGATTCTAAAACTGTTACATGAATGACTTCTTTTTCTTCTCTTCAGGCTTCTAAATATATTTTCTTGGTATGATCTGGCTTTCTGGTCCTCATTGTTCATGGTGGGTTGAATGTAGCATCTGCCTTTCATAAATGGAAGGTTTCTGGGCCAATTGTCTCTGCCCAAATTTCAGAGGCCGCCTAGTTGCCTGCTACCCAGTGCACACTCCATAGCTCTCCCCAGTCATCAGGTTCCCGTGAGTAGCGTTTTCAGAAGGCTGCTGTGGGCTGGAGAGGAAATCCATTTCCAACATTCGTCTAGCTTTTCTGTTCACACAGTAGGCCAAGTAGGCCATGAATGCCATAGCAGCAGCAACTGCCTTCAATATTAGGCCTAACATCATCACTGGTATCTGAACTGTGCCTTTTCAGTCTGCAGGGAACTCCTATTACTGAATGTTGCTCAAATATAGAACCAAATCCCACTGTTGAGAAAAGTAAATATCAAGGAAAATGGCTCCCAGCTTCCGCTGCCTTATCAGGGAACATTGGCATAAAATGAAGCCAGCTGTGCCACAGCCTTGTAGAGGGCTCCTTGGGGCTGTGGCTTTGCTCATTCTCCATCTGAGGGGCACGGGGATTTGGGGAGAAATCTCACCTGAGGCCTCTGAGCTAGAGGCCATCGCCTGATGGGCCAAATTTGGCCCGCAAGCAAGAGACTCCCCATCCTTGGTTTAAAGGGATGTTTGCATGTTCCTGTGTACAATAGAACAAAACAAAACAATACAATACAGGAGTCTACACCAAAAGGCCAAAGTGGTGCAGCTTGGGCACAGGCAAAGTAGGCCATAGTTAACCAGGGAAGAGTAGTACGGAAGGAGGATGCAGCAGCACCATGGACAGGATGCCTCTGCTGGACCAGCTTCAGCTCTCTTAGCAAATGGAATTTGCTTCTGTTTTTGAGGCACTGCTTCACAGCAGTGCCCACATAACCAGCTGGGCTCATTTGTCGCATCAAAACTGAGCCCAAAATAGCTGTGTGCACGGGTGTAAGCGAAGTCTGAGGGGAGCCCTCATTGAGCAGGCATGGACTGCTTAATGGCAATGTGTTCAGGCACTTCCACTGGATAGCAACCCAGCTTATACATGCATAGCAACACTAGACATTTCAGCTTATACATACCACCTTCCTTGGTATGTTATACAAAAGTTAACTAGGATCTAAGTGACATGCAGAAGAGAGATAGCATACGATTGCAATTGCTCCAGGTTGCTTGAGAACAAATGATTGTCTTTCACTTTAAAATTAGCACCTCAGGATGGTGGTGCACTTTGCTCATTCCAGGGACTGGGAGAGAGAGAGAGAGAGAGAGAGGTTCCCTGGGAAAAGGAAGCGCCAAGACACCAGTTGCATTGAATACCAGGATCAGGAAGGAGACTACGGCTCCTACAACACGGGACATGGGTGTTTCCCCCACCATCTAGTGCCTGGCAAGCATTCCCTCGACGGAAGGCAGGCAAGCTGGCCAGGAGCATGGGTGCTCCAGCCACTGCCCCCGAAGCCCACATGTAGTGCATAATGGCCGCCTCTGCAGCTTGCTCTGGCAGGCCGGGGCAGCCAGATGCCCACGCCTCTCAGCTGCTGGCTTGGGGGACTGGAGGTTCTGGCCCTTTGCCCCTCCACTCTACACTGTCGTCTCACTCTTCCAGAGGCCTGTTTTCATGCCAGCTGTGCTGTCAGCACTGGAGAGGTTGATGTCGTACTTGCTACCCTTGAGGCCCCCGTTCTGATTGGTCGCATTGAGCGGAAAGGACCGCCTCTTAGTCTCTTTCTCTGCCACGGCATTGGCTTGGTGCTTGAGGTTGTCTCGGCTGGCACTCCTCCGCTGGGCGGTCTGGCCAAAGTCCAGTGCCTGCTGGTTGCCACTGCCGTCACTCAGGTCGGACTGTGTCAAGGCTGACTCCAGGCTCGGCAGCCCGCCCAGGCGGCGATTGTTCAACGGGCTGTTCCGGCTGCTTTGGTAGCTCTCCGAATGGCTGTTGTGGAGGCTCCCACTCTCGCTGGTGGGGTGCTCCAGGGAAAGCCCTCCCCGCAGCGCCTTCAAGCGGTGGTGCTTCCCTTCCCGGTACTGCTTAGTCCTGCTCTTGTGATGCCTGCTGCGCCCATGCAGGTTGTTGGCATACCTGGTTGTGGGGGTGCTCTTGCTGTTGGAAGGCTCCACATCCTCATAGCCGGGGGCCTGCGGAGGGTTGGCGTCCGCTTGGCCAAGGGCTAACTGAAGGTTGTTCAGTTTGCAGGGCCCTGGGACTGAACTGGTGCTGCTGGGAGACGAGGACGACTTGATGGACTGAGCCACCTCGGGGCTGCACCCAATGAAGACTTGCGAGCCGTCTTCCACCCCCACCCCGGGGTGTGCGTAGGCTTGCATGGGCAAAGCATTCCTGTATGATGGGCAGCAGGCAAACCAAGAGCTCTGCACATCTCTGCGCCGGGCACAGTGGTAGATGAAGATGAACAGCCCCAGTGCCCCGGCTGTGACTCCATAAAGGCAGCTGAAGATGACCTTCAGGAGGAGCCAGTCCTGGGATACTGCCAGGGCCCCAAAGGTCCACAGAGTGATATAGAGGAAATGTGTGATCAGAAGGGCCCAGAACTGCACCTCGAGGGAGTAGACACCATCAGCGTCAGCAGCATGTGGGCTGGGATTCAGTGTGACTGAGATCGAGCCAGAGTCGGTCAAGAGGTTGCTGCTGCCACTCAGGTGCGGCCGTGTCTCCAGGGGCTTGGGCATCTCTTTGGGGTCCTTGGCTTGGCACTGCAAGCTGATTCCGGCACACAGGAAGTAAATCCAGGTGACCAGCAAAATGAATGCTGTGGGCACATAGAAGGCCCCAATGCTTGGCCGACAAGCCAACCAGCAGCTGCGTGAGGGACAGAGAATAGAAAAGAACTTGTTCAGCAAAGCTATCGCTCCAGTCCACTCCAAGTACATGGTAGTGATGGAGCCTGAGCCCCAAAACACAAAAACCCTTTGTGTTGAAACCAAATAAGGAAGGTGCTGGAAGCAGTTCTTTGCTTTGCAGCATGGCAGCTTCTTAGTTGTTTTATTTTTTAAAAACCTTATGAAATAAATATCAGGAGGGGCAGGTGGGCCAACGAGCAGCAAGTGAGCTGGGCATCTTGCTGCCAGGTGCATCACGCTGGAAACTGCAGGTAGGGCCCATCATGATTAAGAAGGGCAAAGTTCTGCACGTTCCACTAAGAACACGCACGGGAGCTCACGCCCAACCCCTCCAACTAACACTCTGAGCGGGGCTGGTTATAACAGTGGTGCTGATTTTAGCACACCTCTGCACAGTCCAGATTGCAGTAGTGATAAAACTGGAAGTGCACTCAGGACACCCCCATCCCCATCCACACCTGCAGGTCTAGGGGCGGACTCAAGATGGCAATGGAGCAACAGCTTCTCCGATGGGCTCCTTCTGACATTTTATTTGTTTTGCCTATTTTTACAATTCGCCTAGCTACATATTTTAATGTTTATACAGCTTTATTTTGAAAGTAAGTTTCCTGCAGAGATACTGCATAATGGAACCGTAAGTTCCCAAAATATTTTACAAGCTTCAGTTGAGCTATGCCGACACCGAAGCAACGGGGAAGAGCAAGAGCAAGAAACCCAACGGGACAAGCCTAGGCCTTCGTACTCTATCCAAACTCATTTGTCATGCAGTCAGCAACTCAAAACTGATGACTACATGACAAATGAGAAGACCACGAGTAATAATAACAACGAAACGAATCCTTTTTACTCTACCGCTACCTCTAACATTTATGATATACTGAATTGGGATTTAGAAACAGAAATTGAAAAGCAACAATCATTAGAGCTGTCCTCTACTTTGCATGAGGAATCCAATCGTCTGATTGAACTGCAGGGCTAGTGTCGCAGAAGTATATGAAGGGGGTTGCAACTCTGCATGATGGCTTGCTGTGGATCAGAGTCAATGAACTTCTTTCAGCCTGAGAGCAAATTACATTTCAGAAAAGCTTTCAGGGAGCATGTTTCAGTTATGGTATGGCTCAAGTCAAAACAGTATATTCTATGCTTTAAGCACTTATTGCCAGCAACCGAGCCTTTAGAGAGGCATTTCGATCTTTCAGAATGGTGTGCATGTACGTGTGTGTGTGTGTACACACACACTCACACACAGGGAAGCCATCTAATGATTAGTGACTGCAGGAAATGGGGTGGGACTGGGGGAGAAGAGTGTTGCCATCTGGAGAAACATTCCAGAGGTCTAGACTGGGATCCCAAGAGAGCTGGATTCTGGACTTTAGGTCCCCGAGAAGAAAAGCAACTACCCACAAAACCAATTCTTCCTGAATTAAAGCTTTCCCTCCAGCAAGCGCTAATCTAGGGTAGACTCAAAGCAAAAAGGGGAAGGAGGACAGCACACTTTCTTTCATCAAAACACAGGCACACATCCATATGTGCACATGGTGGCAACAAAACAGAATCCTATATGGACCTCCTGTATGAGCTTTTCCCCCTTCCAGTTTCTGTCCAAAGGTAGTAATTATGTTGCATTTCAAAATGAAAACTGTTATGTGTTTCTTTCAAGCTCTAAGAGCCGCTTGCAACTGAAACGTACAATAAAATGTGCATCATAATATCCCACAATATTAATGAGACGTTGATTCATTGTTGGAGCCATTTTATTCCTGGTGTGCTACAGTAAGACTCTCTCTGGTGTGTTACTGTAATGCTATTCTAGCATTTCCAAAAAGACTACAAAAGGAAGGGACTGGGGGACATGATACAGGTTTATGCAGTTAGTCCTGGTCTGGACAAAGTGGACAGAAGTAAGTTGTGTTCCCCCTTCTCACCACACTAGACTGAGAAGGCATCCAAGAGAATTGTTTGGCAGTGTCATCAGGAGAGATGAAATAAAACCTTTCTTCACACCCTGCACAATTCATGTATGGGATTCACTGCCACAGTATGATGGTGAAAGCCACTAGATAAGGTGGAATTTTAAAACTGGAATGAATGGGAGAATGTGGCTCTAAGCCTCAGTGGCTAAAGGAAGTCTTCACATGCAGAGAAAATGCCATTTTGGAGGGCTTTCCCACTTTGGTTTGCCACGTCGGAGGCAACTTGATTGCACACAACAAAGCACTCTGGTCCAGGCACTGGCAATTCCAGCGTAATGGCCCTCAGTGCTACTTTTATAGGAGAAAGGCAGAATATAAATCAGCACATAAATATTAGTGGAACAAATGGTATGACCTGGTATGAGGCAGAGTCCTTGTATTGCTTATTACAATTAATTAATGGAGTGATTGTCTGGTGACTATACTATTTATTTATGTAAATATTTCTGGCTACCATTCAAGACAGAAGCCCTCCCAAGTAGGTTTATAGCAATAAAAAGCACATCACCATGCTAATAGCTATGGTAGTGCTTGGTTGTATATCTAATCCCAAAGGGTGGCTAATGACTCCTGCTTGAATGGTTGGTCAGAGGCTGGTGTCCCAGGTTCTCGTTCTTGCCCATGCCCAGCAGTGGGGATCATTGCCAGCCCTTGGAGCTTCTTGGCCTTGCTCTCCTCCCTGGCAATGCTGCTCATTTACCTGCCTTCTCCAAGCAGGCAAGTAGGGAGAAGAGCAAGACGGAGCGCACATCATCTTCCCTCTGGGAGGCGGTGCAGATTGGGCCCGGACAAGGGGGCCAGCAAATGTTCAGCACGGATAAGGTCCAGGAGAAGGCGGCCTAAGAGCTTCAATCCCAAGTGCCTCCATCCCCACGAGCCACACTGGCATCATCCATGCTCATAAAAGGCCTCCTGAAATACAGCACTTCTGCAAATCGAGATTACTTACTAGGAGTTGTAATCCCCATAGTTGTGGATATTGACTGCAGCTGTAATACCACAGATGATTAGAGGGATGCCACCAGCAATCAGATAGAATCTGAAACCACAAAGAAAACTACTGTTGTAGTTTCATACCCAGGATATGGGAATGATTTCAGAAAGCACCGCGTGGCACAGAGCCCAGTACGGAAATACTCTGTCCTCCCCAGTTGTGACAAGCAATCTGCCATTTGAGGTACAAGAGCTCGGTCCTGCACTTGACTCTACAGCTTTTGCCTGCAGACCGTTGGCCAGGCCAACCTCCCCCTTGCCCTTGAGACCTACACTCCCTCCTATCGAGGCTGAGCATTGCTTCTTCCCTACCGTAGCATCGGGCGTGGGGCTGGCTGGGGGGCTTCCCCGTCCTGCTGCTGCTGCGGTGCTTTCCACGTGGCCTCCTTGTAGAGCACTCGCGCCATCACCGCCATCCACAGAAAAGTCGACAAGGTTGAATAGTGGAGAATGATGCCAACCTATGGGGTGAACGGGGAAGCAGAAATGTTGGAGGGCCTAATTACCTCCCAGGAGCCACTGAACTAAAGATAATATTTCCACCACCAAGGTTGTAGGTCTAGGAATGCCCTCTGAAAGCATCACAGGATGTTGCCAACTTTTGAGGGTCGAGCGAGTTCAGTGAACTTCAGTGTTTCCTAAATATATATCTCAAAATATCTAAACTTCTTACACAACCTTACATCTCCTAAAAAAATATAAGGAACACTTAGCTGATATTCAGAAGTATAAATCATGAGCAAGAATGTGGGCCCTTCGTATGAAGGAGAAACATGGTGACAGAGCACTTTTAGTGAAGATCTCTGCACTAGCAATTTGAACAAAGGAGAAAGACCAAGGGGGCAAAGTTTAGTGCACATCTGAGATCCAATATCAGTGTATAGGATGAGATGAAACCAATTGATGGGCTGTTGAATACAGGTGCTGATCCATGTTCTTTCACTGAGTTTGGCCCAATTTCCATTGGTTCTGGTTCAGTTTATAAGCAATATTGTCACATCCTCTTATTTGTGATGAAAGCTGGTGTTTTATACCAAAGTGCTTCAGAGTTCAAAATCATTTATACTAACTCATAACATTTTTGTATCTGTAACAGTGATGAACTAAATGTGCTACCAGTGGTCATTTTGCAAGTGCTGTGTCACACGCAGCACACTGCCCATGTAATGGCTGAGCAGTGCTTCTGAGCAGGGAGCCTGCGGCCCTGAGCGGCAACTTGCATCTTCTTCAGCCAGCTTTGCCCATGGTGTGAGATAATAGGACCTGTTGTCCAGGAATGTCCTTTCTCGAAAAATCCCCACCCATCATGGAATCCTTTTCTCCTTAGAGTCACTTGCCATGGCATGTTGCTTATCCTTGTTCTGCGTTTATTAAAATTGGCTTTCCTAAAATTCAGGGAATGTGTTTGGCTACATTTGGCTTTTGCATCCTTTGGAATCAAGAATTCAAGTATGACATGGTCATTTCCCCCAAGAGTTCCCATAGCTGCCACTTTGTCCGGTAGGTCTTCCCTTTGGTTAGTATCAAGTCAAGGACAGCTGTTCCTCTTCTTCCTTCTTTGACTTTCTGTTGGAGGAAGTTATCAGCAACACACGTTAGAAATCTCTTGGAGGGGCTGTGTTTGTGTCTCCCAACAGATATTGGAGAAATGGAAATCCCTCGTAACAATGACATGATGCTTCCTTGGAACACTGGCAATTTGCTTTTCCAAAATGGTGTCTTCTCCTTGACTGGTGGTCAGTACTGAGGAAGGTTCAGTGGGACACAACAGCCTGCCTCCCCGTAGAGGATCAAGACCACCCTCTGGTGACCAAGGCAACCTTGGTTCAGTCAGCTCCTCATCCTGTTTGAGGGGAACTACATCTGGCTCCTCACTGGATCTGGGGAGAATCCTGCATCAGGACATCCAAACTCTTCACCTGATGGCGTGGAGGTTCTGTCCCTACGGCACATACATTCTCCTCTCCATGTGCAGCTGAACTCCAGCCTAGAAGCAGCTCTGAAACTGGCTGGTCACCACTAGGAGGCAAAGTAAGTCTTTTTGACCTTTGCAGATACTCTGGCTTTGACCCCACAACTACTCAACACAACAAATTCTTCTCTGTCTGGTCACCTTATTTCAAGTGCAGATTAAAGGGATCATCCATCAAAGTCAACCTAGTGGCCATCTCCTTCTACAATGAGCTTTTTCACACCAGATGAATAGGCATTTCCTGAAGGGACTAAAAAACCATCCTCCCACCTTCTTGAAGAATAACACCACCTTGGAGGTCGAGGGTTGTCCTGCATACCCTATCAGGAAAGCCATTTGAGCCTCTGGCGATAGTTGACCACCTACTGTCATTGAAGGCAGCATTCTTGGTGGCAATCATGTCCACTTGTGAACTTTGTACCCTGCAGATAGATCCTCTATACCCCGTCTTCCATTGTGACAAGACAGAACTGCACCGGGATCCCTCATTGCTGCTGTAAGCTTGCTAGTTGCCCGTAGGTGTGATGCATGGAAACCACAAGGACTAAAGGCAGGCTGTTTACCTGTAACTATCATTCTTCAAGTGGTCATGTGTGCATTCACACAAACCACCCACCTACCCCACTGGCTGCCGTGAGCAACATAGCTATCTGTGTTTCTCCTTCCAGTTTTTTCCCCTTCCTTAATGTGGATATGGTACTACTTCACCAAATGTGGAGTTGGTACAGCTGGTCTTCCAGTACCACCCTTATGCCACTGCTTGCTAATGTGGGATGGTATTGCTTCACTGCTTGGGGATTGGTGTTACTGACCCTTGTTGGAACTGGGCAAAATGGCAGGAGCCCCTTCCTGTTATATGGAGGCTGCAGGGAAGAGGCTTCCACCAAAATGCTCTTAGCTATGTATTCCATCTTCCTGACAATAGGTTCCATGCAGGCACAGAGCTCATAGGTGTGAATGCCCAGATGGTCACTCAAAGAACGACAATTACAGGTAAGCAACTTGCCTTTCTTTGAATTCGTTCAAACTTTGAAAGATCTTTTGGGTGTGGAAACTGTGGCTGTCCCATCTTGGAGAGCAGCTTTTATCATTCCTGACTACTGGTTACACTGACTGAGCATGATAAGAGTCAAACTCCAACAACCCCTGGAAGGCTGCGAGTTCCTCACTAAGGACAAGATTGCCAAGGGTAACGTGTGAATGTATGTGTGTGTAGGGGGTGGGGGGGGGTGTCCGCAAACAGAAAGGCTTTTGCTGGACTCTGGCTGTCCAGAGTGGCCTGGCAAAGTCTCCTTTTAATTCTATGGGACAGGGTGTCCCACAGAAACAAGACTAGGTCTTGACATACTACTCCTCCCATGGGTCATCTTATCCCAGATTACAAAAGGAACACCACCAGTTCTGCCAAGGGCTTGAAGCTGCCTTCAGCAGCCAGCATGGTGGTGCGTCCCATGCGCATAATGCCAGCTCACTGCTGGCAAACACGATGGCTGTATCCAAATGAGCATGGAGAAACCCATCAACGGTGTCCCATAGGCAACGCTACAGGCCCAGGCCGACCTGAGCCTCTTCACTGTACTCACTGCCTGGCAGATGGCAACATAGTTGGTGAGGGTGATGCCGCCCGCAAACACGGCAGACGTCATGGCAATGTGAAAGCAGAGATTGAGCAGCATGTGCCAGCACTTCCGTGAGATGTGGATGGTGCTGAAAAAGAGACCCGAGAGAGGAACATGGGTAAGGGAGTTGGGGAGGGGCTGCAGCTTTGCAACTTGATGGTCCCCCACTTCTTTCCCTGGTATCTCCAGGTAGCAGATGGTAATAAAGGACCTTGGACTGCCGCTGCCAGTCAGAACAGACAATATGGGGTGGACAATAGTCTGACCAGATGTTCTGATGGATAGTTCTGACTAAGGTCCTTACAACATTTTCAATATTTGAACAGGTGATGGATAGACATCCCCCTTCAAATGGAAGTTGGGATGTCTGATCTTTTGTTGAAGCCTATACAGAATTGCTAGAAAGTTCCATGCATTTGTATTCATTAATATGTATACAGATACAAATTATGTGCATCTTAAAAGAGAACAGGTAAACCAGTTTGGCAGCTGCTGGCAGTGCTGCTCTGGGGACCTTTTCCTGCATTTCCCTGGAGGCATCCAGAGGCACAGCACTGGGGGGACGTTCTGTAGAGATGCTCACTCACCTGTGGTTGACGATGTACGTGATGATGGTGGCAAACAGGCCCAGGAGGAGGAGGGCAGTGCAGCTGTAAATGACAGGATGCAGGACCTCAGCTGGGCTCTGCGACTCGTGGGGGAAGGTGCTTAGCTCCTGTGTTGGAGAACAACAGTTCAGTGGAGCATGATGCCAAGTGGGCAGGTCAGAAATTAAGGCAGATGGGTGGCATTAAAGGCATGTCATGTTCTGCTTTCAGTGGAGGTCAAGACACTGGCAACACCCTTACTGGAGTGAAGCTCTTAAAACCACGAAGGAGCAGTGATTCCAAAAAGGGCAGGTCAAGAGCCAGACACATGGGTTGGAGGTTCCTCGGGAACAAGAAACACTTCGCTCTGTCAGTGGAAGGACTTGGTCAGTGAAGCTCAGTGCCTCATGGGAAGGACAAATTCTGGGCCGGGGTTCTGGTGAGAAAATGCAGTGCTGGCCAGGTTTCTTTCTGGAGGGGAGTGCTGGTGGGACCCTCGGGCAAGATGCATGGGAAGTTTCCGAGCGTCTCTCCTACCCAGAGGACAGGCAAGTGGGCAAGGTGGTGCCACGACCTGCTCGAGACCATGTGTGGGTGGCGGCAAGCACAGAGGGAAAGGGGAGGACGGGAAGGGGCAGAGCTCCTTGCAGAGCCAGCTGCACGCGGCGGGGGTGCTCAGCCGAGGGTCCTGACTGGGCCTCCTCCTTGTGAGCTTGCTCTCCTGGGCGCAGCTTTCCTTGAAGCAGTGCTGGGTAGCTGTGGGCTCTTTAACTTCCCTGCAATGCCCGGGAGTGCCTGATGAAGCGTCGCTCAGGAGCCTTGCAGGACAGTTAACGGGGTGGGTTGGAGCTCACAGCTGCTTACCGCCCAGCACCATGGTGGGTGCCTCAGGCAGGTGCCAGGCACGGGACACCCACATTTTCCTGACGAAACAGCTCAGGACAGAGGGGCTATGGCTAACGGCAATCCAGTGGCGAAGCTGCCTGTCCGAAAAGGCCTGGGAGTGCTTGCAGCAGCTCCCCTCACTCCCGTGCCGGGTCTCCCCTGCAGCCCCACGATGCCGCTTACCATCAGCACGGCAACGTTGCTGAGGTGCTGGCAGCTCACGGTGCTCATGTTGGGCTCCAGCACAATCAGCTGGCAGCCTTTCGTTTTCCAGCCCCCGTAGCCAGCCAGAACGTCAAAGTCCCAGTAGGCGGCTGTGTGGTCCGTGCCCTTGTCCAGATGCCTCAGGGAGATGATGACGGGCTCACTGAGGTTGCTGATGCCACAGTTGTCTGGGGAGGTGAGAGAGAGAGGCTTCAGAAAGCGCCCAAGCAATCAGTCACGGCTGCCTGCTGCCCCGAGACGGCTGATGCACTGGCCAAAGGGGCAGGCTCGGGTGGGGAGAGCCGTGCTCCAGCTCCCGCTCAGCCAGGAAGCACGTGGGGTGGCTGTGGGTCAGTTGCTGACACCCAGTCCCGCTTACTCATAGGCAGACCACCATGTATTCCACCTCGGGCTCTTTGGAGGAACGGCAGGGTATAAGCATAACAAACATACAGCCTGATGAAGTGCCTCAGTAAGATGTTCTGGACAGGACCCAGGAACACTCCAAGCTGCTCTGCACGGGCTCAGAGTAGGCGTCCATTTTGCCCAGTGTTGCGAGCTCTGGTGGGCAGCAGCTCCCAAGGCCCCAGGGATGGAGCGTGGTCCTTTCTCACCCCCTGCAGCCCGATCCTTAGATTTGGAGATGCTAAGCACTGAACCTGGGACTGTCCACGTGCAATGCAAGGGGCCCATCTGGAGAGCTGTGGTACCTGCTGCAGGGAGCTGCCAGGCACAAGTTGCTCCACAGGGGAGCAGGGGAATGTTGCAAGCATATTATGGTGGAACTCCTTGGCCGGTTTTAAAACAGGGCCAGGCTGTCCCGATGCTGTGTGTTTTCCTTTGCACCATTTCCCAGGTGTGAGGTCCCATCTGCCTTCCCACCCCACAGGCCCCACTGCGATCCATGCTTGGAGAATGAGTTCTTTATTGTACAGGATGCTGCAGGGCAATCCATCCTGCCTCTTTTTCTAGGCATGAACCCTTAACTCATGCTGTGAGGCAGAGTGCCTGGGCTGGAGCACCTGGAGAATGGCTGCTTTCCCCGCCCACTCCCTGCGGCTTCTGCGGGGTCCTTACGTGTGCCTGCATAGATCACTGGCGTGGCCACGCTGCGGCGCTTGCCGTCATCGGCGAGGTGCGATGAGTTTCCGGTGCTGCAGAAGAGCTTGCCATTACGGAACACCAGGAGCTGGAGCTTGCACTTGGCGGGCTGGGGCTGGGGAGGCGCCAGTGGGGAGAAGAGCCCAGGAGGCAGCTGGATGGAGGCCAGAGCGATACTGTTCTGATGGGACAGGGGACAAAGGGGTCAGTGTGATGCGGCGCACCTAAGCCAGGCCTGCCCTATCCCACCCAGGGCAGAAGCAGTGAGGAACTGCCTTCTACCAGGCCAGGATACTACTCCTGCGAGTAAAGGTCCGGTCCTCCCCGATCTGGCATCCTCCAGATGTCTTGGACACCACCAGCCAACATGGCCAACGAGAGCTGTATCCAACGCATCTAGACCGTGCCATGTCGGGGAAGACGATGAGGCTGCTCCAGCCCTGTTCTGCTCCCCTACCCTGCCAAAATGGCTGACCAGGTCCTTTCCGTCCTTCCCCGTCACCCACCTCACCTTGATGTGGAAGCTGGACAGGGAGATGTTGGGTCGGCCCGTGGTACAGCGGAACTTCAGTTGCTGGTCTGCCAGGGACTCCGAGTACCGCTCTTGCCGCGGGGGCCGCCCACCCAGCAGGGCCTCACGCTTCTGGAAGGCTGTGCAGCTCAGGCCCACGTAGCTGTCTGGCTTGATCAGGTAGGCCTCGAAGGCAATGTTCCTGGAGTTCTGCCAGAGCAAAGCCATGACTTTTGTAAGGACAGACATGCCTCCTGGGGGAAGCGCACAGCTGCCCGACAGCTCGACTATCACACACTCTTTGGGTCGCCTCCTGTGCATTGAATCCGCAGCGCAATTTCTGTCTCAACCTGGCAATGCTTCCTATTCAAGTATCGCTTATTCCTCAGCAGGGCTGGCCTTCAGCAAGGCATGCGACTTGGCAAGGAACCCCAAAGTGCCTGCCTTAACCTCCTTGCAGTTGTGTGTGAATGCAGCTTCCCAACATGTCTCCAGACTAAACCTATGTTGGCCCCTCCAAGACTTTATGGAAAATTCAGAATTTCCCAGCTGTTAATGACCATTAAGCCCACGAAGGGGGAAGCAGCTGGGCTGGGGCCTGTTGCCAGCACCCTTGCCAAGATGACTGCTTCTGTCTATCAGATGTCTTCTTCTAAAACAAAGAGTCACCGAATCTTGCAGCATGGGCTAAAACATATGAAGTTTTAAAGCATACACAGATGTTAAACAACTAAAATGTTGTCCCAGGACAGAGCCCTGGGGGAACCCGCTTGTCACTGGTCACCATCCTGATGATTTCCCACTAATTGTTACCCTTTGCTTTTGGTCAGTCAACCATGCCCTAATCCATTGGATAGTGCACTGGTCTATCCCAAAATCCCTCAATTTCTCAACTGGGATATCACGGGCACTTTGTCAAAGGCCTTGCTGAAATCCAGGTAAACCACATCCACCATGTCCCCTTCATCTAGGCACCTTGAAACCTTGTCATAGAATTCCGCAAGGTTTTCTTCACCTGTGCCTCTTCACTTGGATGCCCACCACCTCTCTCCTCTAGACTTCATCCTTCCAGCTTGACCTGCAGCCCCTTCCACCTGAGGCTCTTGCTCTCTGTAACCCAGTCTCCTCCAGCCCTCTGTGCCAGGAGAACCTGGATCCCTACCACAGACATGTGCTGAGAGTTGGTGCTGAGGGTGTAGCCAGCAATCTTCTCCAGAGAGTGAACGATGCTGGTACAAGCCTTGTCCTCGATCTGAGCCATCCACAGGATATGATCCTCTACCAACATCATGTTGCTGGCCATCTCTATGATGACATCGGTGAGCTAGGAGAAGACAGACAGGTTGGGGTGCAAGGCATTGCTGGGAAAAATTCAGCAGGGCAGGCAAGCATTTACTGCAATGCAAAGCATGTGCTAGGCACCACCCAGAACATGCTACTGGCCAACTGTCCACATGAGCCTGAGAAGATGAGTACAAAGAGAGAAGAGTGAATCTGCTTGTGTGAACCCCTCACTGGCCGGCTGGACATCTGAGTAGGAGCCCTCCTGGGAATGCGTAGACTTTTTCAGGTGTTGTAGGCACTACATGTCTCTCCGAAATCACTTATTTTGAGGTACATGCATTGGCTCTCAACTGCTTCATGTGCTTGGCTTTTAAACCCCAAACAGCCTGGCTCCTGATTGCCTTCTCCCTCTGTGCTGTGGGTTCAGATGGAGGCCTGTCCCAGGTTCCTTCTTCTGGGCAGTATCAAGTTGACCTTAGGACCGTATTGGTAGTGGCCAGATGCTGAGACTCTCTTCTCATACAGGTTCATGAAGCTTCTCCCTCACCATCTTTTCAGAGGAAGGTTAAATCTCCCCCAAGAGAGCTTTTGACTGTCAATCTATCATTTTTGTGTGATCTTCTAATCTGGAACTTCTTTCCAACATCATCGAACACCTGTTTTATTTTCTTTAAGAATGCTATTCAACATCATTTTACAGCTGTGTAGACTGTGGTGAAAATCTATTTATTTATGCGATTTCTATACCACTCAACAGCCAAAGCTCCCTGGGCAGTTCACAACAGCAAACATTGTACACGAATAGCCTCACCGAACATTTTAAATACCAAACAAGCCTATCAAAACCAAAAGGTGGGAATGGTGCCCCAAAGAGCAACCTAATTATCCAAAGGCCGAAGCATCTTCCTTACAGAGTGCCCCTTTGAGTGCCTTTCTTGCATTGGTTGCTGCTAGATGCTGCCCCGTCATCACCTATGTTTGGAAAGCCTAGGATTGGAGCACCCCCCCCCCCAGATTGTCCTGTCCTGGACAGCCCTGCTCAGCTCTTGTAAGCCTAAAGCTGTGGCATCTTTTCTGGCTAGAAAGGCTAAAATGGATGGGTCTGGTTTATATGGGGAGGACAACTAATGGTGGGGAGAGACTTAACAGAGGTTTCAAAAATTAACTGTGATAGAGAGAAAGAGTCCCCGCTCCCCGGTATTAAGAGATTTAGGGAATAATCATTTTCAGCGAATCCAGGCCTTTCTTGCCTTACCCACATGAAGGAAAAGATGATGCAAGCTTTGCAAATTACACAGCCTCCCCTCTCCAAACTTAAGTCAATTTTCAAAGCAAAACATGCAGATAAAGCATCCCTTTTGGATTTTTTAAAAAATGAACTTATATGTGCCATCTTATTTGCCAAAGAGCCCTCAAGCATACAATTTGAAACAATAAAACAGTGAAAAGAAAATCAAGAATGTTAAAAACTGGAATATCAGAACTGCATAATACAGCGGGTGAGCTTGTTAGGATGAGTGTAAAACTCTGAACATGGAGGGTTACAGTCATCCAGTGTAAAGATTGTGGAGGCGATCTTTTTGCCTGTCTAGCTGGGACAGGTTGGCTGGAGAAACCTCAGGATGTCTTGTTTGCTGGCCTCCTCTTCCCCCTTCTGCAGCTTCCCACTCCTCCTACCCCTGGACGTAAATTTAGAAACATGGAGCGTGCCCCCAGTGATGCATTTACCTGCTTAATCTGGTCCACATAAGTGGTGAACTTTTCGATCATCTGAGACACGTAGATGACATCCATCATGTCTGAGAAGTTGGCAGCCTCAGCTGTGTAGACACGCAGTTGGTGCGCCAAGGTCAGGGCATTGGAGGCGTTGATGGGCATCTAGCAGAACCAGAAAGAGAAGGGGAGGGATTCACAGCCCGCCCGGGAGTGGTTGACCAGTGATTAGGGTGCCAGGCTAAGAGCAGGGAGACCCACTTTCTAGTCCTCACTCATCCATGGAGCTCACAGGGAGACTTCGGACCAGTCGTGGACTCTCCACCTAACCTACTTCACACAGTTGTTGTGAGGATGATGTACACTGGCAGCGGAATATAAAGGAAAGGTGGAATATAAACATAACCAATGCACAGTAAGTTCACAGCGTTCTGCCCTTCTACCAAGATTGCTTAGTTTGTAAGACGGGGAGATGCTTTGGTGCAAGTTGGACTCATGCCTTCTTACTGAGCATAATCTTCCCCCATCTCAGGCATCTAAGCACTCCTTCCTTTTATACTTAGCAATGATGAAATGGAAAAGCTCAGATGTTCCATGGAACACACACTCCAGAAGTTCTCCTCATTACTACTTCACATCTCAGGCTTGACGCCCCATGTGCCAAAGACACAAGCACAAGGCTGAAACCGTCTCTCTCTTCTCCACTCACCAGCACAAAGGTGTAGAGGACACGCGTGATATCATTGGTGTACAGACAGTGGGAATAGTCCCCCTCTTCCCAGCGGCCTGTGCGGTCACAGCGCCTCCACGCTTGCTTCTCCCGACTGGGGCCCCCATTCCCGGAGGTGAAGGGGTACTGCAGGCATGACTGGTAAGCCGTAATGCCGGCCAAGGTGCGTGGCCACCTGCAGGCACAGAGGAGAAAGGTAGCCCGTGACAGTGAGTCTGCTCATTCCCCTGCTGACCACCTGCTTGGCATCCCAGGATCTTTTACTGTTTACTTACAGAACTGGAGACGTGGTACAGCCTCCCCGGGACTATTGAGATGGCTGGCATTTGGATGCGTCAAAACACACAAAGCCAAGAGCCGATCAACACACTGGAAAAGTGAGCCATGGATCCTCGTTCCCCTTCATCAGGAGCGGCAAACCTCTTTCAGCCCACGGACCAAATTCCATGCTGGAGACACTATTGGGCATCCAGGGGCGGTCCAGGGGACTGAGAGGAGGAGACTCACGCCACCAAGATACGATGTGCCACTGTGATGCATCAGCCTCCTTTTACCCCTCCAAAGTGCCTCTGTCACACAGCTGAAATCAGCCATCAAACTGCTTTACAGGGCCGGAGAAGGGCAGCAGCTTCACCTCTATACTCCTCCCATCCTGCACAGGATGCCTGCAATCCCCTCTGGATGGTGCCCTAAGGCACTTCAGATGGTGAGTGTCGAGGGAGCAGAGCCCTCTGCATGCATCGGGAGAAGACTGCGAATGACACAAGATTCCATGTCTGCACTGGATAAAGCTCCCTCACAGGGAAAAATAGCTTTTGCAGTGGAGAAAAACTGTCAGACACCAGGAGTTTTATGGGGTAATTTATCTGCCTCCCTGGAACTCTCCACTTGGCCCAGCTGATCCAACATCTGGCTCACAAGTCTTCCTACACCCCCCTTCCTCCCATCCATGCCAGCAACAGCTGGATGAACCAAAGGGAGGCATATGGAGGTCATATGGTCCCCCCCCCCCTCTCTCTCTCTCTCTCACACACACACACACACACACACACACCCCACCCCTGGGCTGCTCTTGCACTATTCCCTCTTCATGTTTCTCACAGCCTTTGCCCCAGAGCACAGTGGTCTCAGCTGAATGAAGGCCTAATTTGACGGGCTCATGAAGATCCCTAGTATCAGTTCTCACAACGCTCATGCCTACAGAAGAAGAAGGTTTTTTCCAATGTCAAAGAAAAATCTCCCAAATCTGAGCTGATCGAGGGAAAAACTAATCTCTGATCAGTTTTCCTATCACTTTACAGTTGGAACTGGGAACAGCTGCAGGATGTTCCCAGCTCAGACTGGGGCTGAAGGATGAGGGGAGTTGTTTTACGCCCCTTTCCTGTGCCACACTGTGCCTGAGAAAAGTCTCCCATGACGTTGTGATTCACCCCATCAGGGAAAATACGCAAAGCTCTCCAGCGGGCCATAAGGAGCTTAGAAGGGGCTGAGCTTCATCAGAAATAAATGCTGCGGTGGGGGAGTCTAAAGGCCCCCCCAGAATTCTTCCCATCACTCCAGATGCTTTTTACCATTAAAATGGAAGTGAACTGCTCACAGATCTCTGCAGGCTTGTCTGGCTCGGCCCTTTCAAAATTCCTGTTTGGGACCCTGCGCCTTGGTTCAGTGGAAGAGCTTCCTGGAGAAGTGACAAGGACATTTGGATTGACTCCCTCCCCATCTGGGATGCAACCAGGCTCCAGGGGGTTCCTGTGGCATCAGCAGCCCTGCCCACCACAGCCGGGAGAAGAGAGGGTCTCTTGGCCCTGCCCAGATCCCAGTCGGGCCACACACCAGGTGGGCCCTTTCCACCCTGCGCTGGGGCTTTGGTGCTTGTTTTCCCTCCCTCTAACCCCAGGCCATATCCTGCTCATGCAGAGTGTGGAGGCGGAGGTGGAAAGGGAGAGAGAGAAGACAGGCCTGCTGTTAATTTAAGCCACATTGACTGCACAGTAATTTATATTCCATCAAGACCCCGCCAAGGTTACAGTGAGCTCCGTAAGCCTTTTTTCTCTTGCCAGAGAAATTCCAACACCTCCTGCTTCTGGAGCCTGTCTGCATTGCCAGAGCCAGGGCCTCTTGGATGGCCTCCCTCGCAATGGACACTTAATCATTCCCAGACCTAGATTGCCAGAGAGATCCCGAGTCTTCTTCTGCACTCGTAGGAGCGCCAGGGCTGCAGGGATCCGGCCTCATCCCAGCGTCAGCCACCCTGTAGCTGAGCCCTCTGCTTAAAGGGAAGCTGGCAATGTGGCTCCCCCGGGTGAAAGGCAGCGGAAAACATGCATAAAAACGGAATGGCCACTCATCCAGCACTCGACAAGCAGCCAGAGCATCTGCAGGGCTGCTGGGGGTGGGCAGTTTTATGCGCCTGGCCTCTCTCGCAGGAGATTTCTACCTCCCCTCTGATGCTGCTGCCCCCGTGGCAAGGAGAACAGCACACACACAAACCCACCTTCAGTCTTCTCCTGCTCACGGGGAACATGCCCTTGCGGGGATGCTGTTGCTCGTTGGCCTCCCCTGCAATCCCGACACCAAGCCGGACAAGCGCAAGAGAGCGAGCAAGCAGAACTGTGTCTGTGCCCCTTGCAAGTGGCAGGCCGGGCAGTTCCCAAGCTGGCCTGCAGCGCACAGGTTGGTGGCCTGGCAGCATATCTGGGTGTAACAACAGGAGGAATTTGGGGTGGGGGTGGGGGGTTTCCAATAGTGTTTGGCCCTCAGTTTAAAACGAACAAATAATTAAGACTATGACTAATGAATATTGCAAGCTCAGAAGAGTGCACCGTATTCCATTCTCTCACTGCAGATTTTCAAGAATCAAAGATTATTTGGAAGATGATTCTGCCGTCATCAAACTGACTAGCAAAATTCCACATTTTCAGCTCCTGCGCTCTGTCATCTTGCTTGGCACATTGCCCAACACAACCCTTTTCCAATCTGACATTCTCCATTTATTTCTTTCAAATATTGATATACCTCCTTTCACCAAAACTGATTCCTGGGCAAGTTAAAATGATATAAAAGGGTAAGCACAAGATAAAACATGCTAAAACAAGGGGTTTTAACCACCCTCGGCCTGAGGGCATGGCTCCATTTCAGAAGCTCTTGGGAAGCATTCCAGTGGTGACCAGTGTGGCAACCAAAGTGGGAAGGACCAAAATATAAGCAATATGGACACACTGTAGCTTGAAGCTCCTCCAGTCAGCAACAACACTTCAGGAGAGGCACTTCAACCTTTTAAACTAGGGAAGAAAACTGCAGAAACCCTGAGGAAACCCTCAAATGATGGGGGACAGGGGTGCTGGTGGGCATGACTCTCTAGGCCTGGGGTTCTGTCTTAAAGCAGACCAACTGTGGGAACAGCCAGTGCAAAATAAAAATAGCTGATTAAAAAGAGGAATCCAAAGAAGGTTCCCGGAAGCTCTGCATTACACAGAGCCAGAAGATCCCCTGGAACTGTCTGTGGGTCCCCCAGCCACTCTGGTCAATAGCCAAAGGTATCAGCTGAAGTTCCTGGGTTCCATAAGGGAGGCAAGCGAGGTGCCCCTGGGAAGCAGTATCTAAAAAGAGCATCCTCCATCACAATCCTTCCATATCTTCAGTCAGAGCCACCACTGCCAACACAGTTCAAATTCTGCTCACCTTTGAATCTGGACGAAATTATGCAAACTGAGCACAAACGGCTGAATTTCAATGCCTGAATGCTACATGATGTACTTTACTGGCAGCATGCTACAATGCTAAATGCCAAGCAAAGATGGCTGTTATTTGAAGTAGTCCTTTCAGATTCGAGTGCAAATGAGGCGGCAGGGGTATTTAAAAACACCCACCCACAACCCTGGATTTAGGACACGGCTAGAACAGGCCTTCAGTTGAATCTGTTTGAAAGATCTCCAAGACAGACCAGTATGGGCAGCAGGAAACCCATTATGCTCATGCTACATACCTTGCAGTAATGAGATCTAGGAACTTGACTTTTAAATTAATAATGGAGGCTGTGTTTCTCATACCTACATGCAAGGGGAAGCCAGACTGTAACATATCAGTACGGCGCCTCCAAACCTACTGCAGAGCCTGCCACTGCAGCCCGCCGGCCCGTGTCCACGTCAGCTCCTACCTGAAGTCTCCGCGGTTGTTGGTCACCCGCTCAGGTGGGCAGTACGACGCCGAGGTCTCCAGCACCACGATCTCCACCTTCTTGCTCACGTTGCCCTGGGCGGTGGAGATGGTGCACTCCCACTCGCCACTGGCCGAGACGTGGATGTTGGTCAGGGTGAGTTCGCTGGGGACAGAAAGCAGGTAGCCCCGGCCGGTCACTCATCTGCACAACAGGCAGGCCGTTTTGAAGTGGGACTGGGGCGTGCCATTCCACCTGGTAAAGTGCGCTCTTTGCACGCACATTCACTCACACTCATCCCCAGTTTAAACGAGCTCGCTTGGAGCAGGGTTGAGCGGCACAGGGGTTAAGGGGGCAGTGGGCAACCTGTAGCCCTTGGGGGCACATGGCCCTCAGTCTCATTTCAGAAACCCTCTGCCTGATGCCGGTCCAGACCTTGCAAGAGCAACTTGTCCCCTCTCTGGCAGCCTCTGCATGGGAAGGAAGGCGAGGCGGAGGAAAGGAGGCGAGAGAAAGAGGGGAAGGGTGACTTGCCCAGTTCGTCCCTGGCCCTGTTTGCCACCATGCGAGGAAGACTAGGGGTTGCTGGGTTCATAGTGAAGGTGAATGCCTGCCTCTCCCTTTCCCCAGCAATTGTCACCAAAATTGTGGTTAGTCCACAATATGGAGCAGGGGAGAACTTGGGCAGATTTGCTTATCTTGATTTGTTTTATTATGGAAAACTTTTGTGCAGTGCCCATTGAGCGGAGCTTTGAGAGCAGTCTACCAAAACAAGCAAGACAGAAATGCAGAAACAAACAGCAGCTACACCAGCAAAACAGGGTTAGAAGAGAGGGAAGACACAATAACGTATCTTCCTAGCCCTGAAATCTGGGGAAATCTTAACAGTGTCTTTGCCTGGCCCTGAAAGGACGATGGAGGTGGTACCTTGTGATGAAGGTGCAATCGTGGATGAGGCTCTGCTCCAAGATGATGCCGCTGGGTTCGTCCCCCTGCACCAGCACACGATTGTGGTACCAAAGGATGTGGGTGCTGTTGTCCAGGTAGGTTGCCGTACACTGGAAAGGGAGGCGGTCGCCTTGGAAGACAACTTGCCGCAAAGAGGGGATCAACAGGTGGGTGTGCAGTTCCGGGGTCCCTTCTGTGGGAAGGACAGGGAGACCCTAATCAGGCTGGGCGGGAAGAACAGAATGGTAGGACAAACCATACCCCAGACTCTGGCATGCAAAGACTCCAGCCTGCATATTCCCTTTGCCTGCATCCAGGGTTGCCTTTGCCCTGCACCTAAAATAAAAGAGAGTCATCGTCACTGGAAGCTCCCACCAAAGAGTAAGCTAATTTGTGTGACTGATGGGAATTAGGTGAATTCACAGATCCTTATGTTGCCTTGCTCTGCTCCTACCAGACTTGCAAATAAAGGGATAACACTGCTCTGAGGAAGACAAGTGCTTACATCTTCTTCCCCGCCACCCCGTGCCATCGCTGGACTGCCAGGCTCTTGACAAGCATTGGGTGGCTTGTCCCAATGGGCAGTGCTCTGTAGCAACGCCCATTCGGGTAGGTTTTGCTTGGAACTGAGAAGGCACTGCTCCTCCGAAGCAACTGTCAGCAAGAGGAGACTTGCGCCCATCGAGGGCTACGTGCACCCTCGCCATCCAGCCTCCGAGGTCCCAAGGAGGGACTGCAGATAGGAAGGCAGTTCCCAAAGGGCACTCTTAAAGGATTCCTAAACTAGGGAAGCACATGGATGGGCGCCAGAAGCTCTGTCTGAGCACGCCCAGCGGAAACTGTAGACTTGAAGACGGCGTGGATTAACAGGAGTGTGTGAATGCTTTCAAATGCCTCTCGAGCACCTTTCCCCAATGCAGGGCCCTCCAAAAGTTTTGGACCAGAACTCCCAGGATTTTTTACCACTGGCCATGCAGACTGGCTTTCTCTCTATCCATCTATAAAGCTTTTCTCTACTGTCACAATGAATCTCATGATGGTTTACAGCAATTGCAATAAGAGCAGTTAAAATAACAGAACAATTAAAAACTCCAAAGTGCCAATGCATGATATTAAATGGTAAAAATACAAACAGTTAACAAACAGGGTGAATAAAAGGGCCTTGAAATGAGTAAAGGGCACCGAAATGAGTAAAGTGTTGGCACTAGGGGCACCTCTCTTGGGAGCAAGTTCCATAAATGGCGGGGCTACAGCAGAAAAGACCCTTCTTCTCGTAATAGCCCTCCTCACCTCCTTCCAGGAAGGCTCTCAAAGAAGGACTTTTGCAGATGATCTTAGGCCCATATGGAAAGAGATGTTCCTTTAGATGTCCAGACCCTAAACAGTTTAGGGCTTTGCATGTCATCATCAGCACCTTAAATCAGGCCCAGACTTCAATTGGTTGCCAATGTAAACTGGTATAGGATCGGTGTGATACGCTCTCATCTACTGGTCCCAGTCCGCAATCTGGGAGCTCTATTTTGAACCAATTGCAATGTCTGGACCATCTTCAAGGGGAGCCCCATGTAAAGTGCACTATAATAGTCCAAACAGGAGGTTACCAGTGCCTGAGTTACTGTGCTAAGGCTTGCCTGTCCAGGTAAGGATGCAGCTGGTGGACCAGCCTCAGTTAGAAGAAGGCATTCCTAGCCACAGATGCCTCTGGAATTCCAAGGAAAGCTCCGGGTCAAGAAGTACTCCCAAGCTACATGTCCTGCCCTTTAGAGGGAGTGCAACCTTGTCAGGACAGGGCAGACATCACTCACCTGATATTATAGACTTGGGCTCATGGGAGTTGAAGTCCTAAACATCTGAAAGGGACCGAGCTGCAGAAGGCTGCTTTTCAGGCTATCTGTTAGGATGGCTGTGCAGCCAAAGCAAGACTACAAAGGAGCTATGGAATATGCTCCCCAGAAAAGTTTGCCCAGTGACAGCACTTTATTTCTTTCGGTGCCAGGCCAAACCCTTTTTATTTTCTCATTATTTTAAGGTTTGAGTTTGATTTCAATGTGGGGTTTTATTATATAGAAAATAAATTTGGATGCTGTGCTCCACTCTGTTTTATTGGAAGACCATCCTGAAACCTCAGAAGCAGATGGTATATAAAATTTTCAAATAAATAAGTATTGAGAAATTGATCCACATGCTGGGGGAATCCCAAAGTTCGCAGAAAAAGAAAGCATTGTGGAGGTGGCTGGGGAAACCCCTAAGAGGGGAACCTCTCTGCTCCCGCCGCTGCCCCTCCCTCCTCCAGCTTTGTGGGCACAAGATGCAGAATTTCTGTTGGAAAGGAGAACAGTAAGGCACAGATGGGGAAGGGCAGCGGAAGGCCTTGCTGGTTGGCCGGCACAAAGAACAAGGGCATGCAAGTGCCTCCCTGAGGAGAAGGCCTTGCTGGTTGGCCGGCACAAGGAATGGGGACAGGGCAATGTTTGGGTGTAGCTCCCATGGCTGGATAACTCGAGAAGCCTCGCCCGCACGGCGGGAGCCTCACCGCAACGCATCTGGCTCTCCCTGGTGGTCCGCAGCGGCTTCCCATGCAGGCTGCCTGGGTAGACGCACACCGTCTTGTCAGAGATCTGGACGGAACAGTTCCTGGACCAAGCCAGAATCCAGCGCGTGTTGCAGTCACAGGTGAGGTATTCGGTGGCAAAATCACTGGACAGAGACAGGGCCACAAGGTGGGGTTAGGTGTGCAAAAGAGAGCAAGAGGAACACATCAAGGGATGGTCACTATGCAAGGAGCTGGACAAACAAATAGGCATGGAAGCATCTCCCTCTGGGAGCTGACCGTGCGCCTCAAAAGCCTTCAGGAAGGTAACCAGCAGTCCTGAGGAATGTGCTTTGTTCACATGGAGGAAGTAGAAGCACTCGTTTTCTCAGCCCCACCCTACCAAGGACACCGGGGTGTTCTTTAGCTGTCCTTCTCAAAGGACACCCAAGATGCACACCCACATTTAACACACATCCTCACTCCCCAGCTGCAAGCAGGCACGGTCTACCTGCAGACCAACCCCAGTGAGAGTTCCTCAAGGGGCCGTTCAGAGGGAAAGTACTCACAGGACTTTAAGGGACAGCAGCTCATCGAAGACCCCGAGCTGCAGGCTGGAGAAAATGTTCCCGGATATGTTCCTGTCGAAGAAAAGGGAAGAAGACAAGAAGAGCTGCCCTGGCTGTGGGGGAAAGCCTTGTAAAGTCCAGGGCTTTGCGCCCGCAGTGGCCTGCCAGGTGCCTCTGGGAAGCCCACACAGGCACACGGGAGCAGTGGCCCTCTTTCGCGGCAGTCCTACAGCAACCGGTGCTCAGAGGGACACGTTGCTCCCCGTTCATTCCTGGTGTGTAAACGCTACCGCCTGGGCTACCCCAGGTGGAGGCACTTGGTGGCCTCCAGACCTTTCAGGTTGCAACACAGGAATCCCAGACCACTCGCCTTCCTGGCTGGGGATAATGGGACCTGTAGTGCAAAACATCCAAGGAGGGGCACCAGTTTGCCTGACACCTGGGCTTAACACAGAAAGCATCGTCTCTCTGTTCCTTCCTTAGCATGATGTGCGTACCTGGAATTCTAGCTTGTTTCTCCCCTGATAAGACCCAGCAACAAACTTTGGGCTATAACTCTCTTCTATGGGGTTTGCATGTCATGCTAAACAAACCATGGGGAAAGCTCATTTACCCGCTTCTACTTGCACTAGGAAGAAATGGGCAAAGTGCACCAGCAAGCTGCCTTATTCACGATAATCCACAATTGAAAAGAAAACCCAAAGCAGGCAATCCATTATTTCTATCTTTGCAACATTTATATACTCTTTCACATCTGCACAGATTGTGCTGCAGTGAAGAATAAAGGGAAATACACATTTTTAGAGAACCATAGGTTATGACTCTGGCTTGTTGGGGGCATTCCTGGTTTACACATAATGCTGACAAATGTGAGCAATAATCAACATTACAAAATACTGTGATTTGCAAAAGCAGGCTGGTAAATAATCTGAATGGGAGAAAATTGCTCTTTCATGTACAGGCAGTTTTGTAAATTGCAAAGAAGCCCAGAAGCATGATTCTGACGGGTGAGACTTCCATGTACCAGCACAGATGCTGCAGCCGGCTCCAAACATCCCCACCCGTCCCCTGAATCACCAAGTACTCACAAGCGGATGAGGTTGACCAGTCCCTGGAATATGCCAGTGCTGAGGCAGCCAATGCGATTATTGGAGAGATCCCTGGAAGAGGAAGAGTTGGAAGAATGATCAGAGAAAGCAAAAGGTGTGGGTAGCGGTAGGCACTGATGAGCCCAGCATGCCAGGAGGAAGGAGCAGGCATGGTTTGCCAAAGGAGCTGGCAGGCAAACTAAAAGGGGCACCATGGCAGGACTTATGGGAACTGTTCATGGACAAATACCAGGCTTGAAGACTCTGTATCCTGGGACTTTGGCAGGCTGGCCTCTGCTGGACACAGCTCAGCAGCAGGGAAGGGTCTCGGAAATGGTGCTGTGGGATTGTGGTCTTTTGGGGTGGAGGGGAGCTTGGAGATCACTTAGTCCTGAGGTTCCCAATAAGGGGCCCAAGCACAGCTCTCTTAGCACCGATTTTTATTTTATAAAGGTTTATTTGTATTTTTTAAACCGGGACTCTGTCCTTCTGCAAAGTAAAATGCTTCTCTGCAGCACCATCTTCATCTGAATTCCACACAATGGTTTGGCATTTTGGGACCCAGGCCTCCACCTCTGCTTTGGAGGGTTCATGGCCCAAGGTTCTTGGACTTCTCCTCTAGTCTCACCAGTGGGCCTGCTGCGAAATGGATGATCTGTGACTCCTACCATGGCAGCCATGTTGTGAGGGAGCCCACAGCATTCTCTCAGCACTCCAAATGTGCCGTCTGACCCAAAAGGATCGGGGATCCCAGACAAGTCCAACCTTCTAGCTCACAGCAGAAGGAGCAAAATGTTGAATGGCAGGCTCCGAGAGGAGCAGAATGTTGAAGGAAACTCTTTAACGGTAAGAACTGTTCAACAATGGAGCCGATTGCTTAGGGGCATGGCTGGCCTGCCTCACTGGAGGTACTCAAGCAGAGGCTGGGCAGCCCTGTGCTGGGGACTCTGGAGCGCCAAATTCCTTGCACCAAGGAGGGGATGGCCTAGACAGCCTCCAAGTGCCCCCTGCCACCTCTATGATGAGCAACAGTGACATGGCTGGCAGTGTAACTTCTGTTCACAACCCTGCTACCTCTGTCCTTCATGAGATTTAGTATTTACCCATGCCTTGCCCAAATTGAGGATCTGTCACAGAATTGAGGCGGGGAGTGGGGAGGGGTGATAAGAATTAGCTAGTATTGTTCAGAGCTGTCTATCTTCTCTGGATTTGTGCACAAGGGAAGAATTTGTTATCTGGCCCATCCTGAGAATGGAAGCTTTCATTAAAAACAAACGACTCCATTGTGGCTAGATTTTCTGAGTTTGCTAATAAGTTTGTTAGCATGGGAACAGTGCTGGAAAGTATTTCAATAGCCAGAGGAATGGGGTGGAGTGTGGGGTCTGAACCGAACTAGTGGCTGTCAGTGGGTGGAGCTCAAGTCCTTTCCACGGCCTTTTCCCCCTTCCTGCCTAGGCACGGGTGAGAACAGAATAGCAATGAAAGCTGCTCTGCTGATGATTTTTGGGTGACGTTTGCTCTGCTGTCTGCCAGTCTGTGCAGCTGGAATTTGTGCAAATGCATCCACATATATTTGCACAAACTGGGGCTCCCACAAATGGACAACTTGGCCAAACATTTTCATGTGCCCCCAAGACAGATCGTTTCACACCTTATCCACTTAGGGGATTTGTAGATTTTTATTGGAGTTTTGCTATGTTGTGTGTTTTTCTTTGTGCAAAGTTTGTAAAATAAAGAAATCGGTCCACAAGGCCAGCAGACCCCAAAAGATCTGGAAAAATGAGTCCAGTGTGAACTCTGTAAACTCTGAACTCCTCTGAGTTTGCTGCAGTTTTCTCTGACATCCCTAAACACAACTCTGTCTGCCACTGGAGAAGAATGGTCCTTTCCCCTGTCCTATGTAGCTAACAGAAACAGCTGCAGCCTAAGCACACACAGTGTGTTAAGCACATCAGACCTCACTTTGAATACAGTGTCCAGGTATGGAGAGCACCCTGAATGAAGAATTTAGAGAACCCCAGACTTGTTCAAAGAAGGCCCTCAAAGATGATCAGAGGAATAGAAACTGAGTCCAGTGCAGAACGATGGAAGGAACTGGCTATGTTTGGTCTGAAGAGGAGAGATATGATGAAACCATTCAAGTATCTCAAAGGTTATCACACAAAAGTGGGTCACAACCTGTTCCAAGACTGTAGGCATGAAATAATGGGCACAGGTTACAGGATGGTAGATTTCAGTTGAACATCAAAAAAAAAAAAAAAATTCCTGATAGTCAAAGGATGGAAATAATGGCCTAGGGAGGTTATGGGTTATGCATCACTGGAGGGATTCAAGCTGAGACTGGACAGCCATCTGTCGAGGATGCTTAACCTGGATTTCTGCACTGAGCTGGCAACTGGAACCAGTGGCCTAAACAATCCCTTCCTGGTTTTAGGATCTGATGATCTGAGTGGGTCCTGATCACTGGCATGCTCATGCTATATGAGCACAGGCAAATGCTCATCATGTGTTTAAACAGGAGCGGCACCATGTTTACAAGGAAGTGTAATGATCTCGTGGCTCAGGTCACACTTAAAATAGACCTATGCTTGAAGGGAACAGATCGACAATTCCCTAAGATCCATCTTGGACAACTTTCTCTCACTCACCCCACTTGACTTTTCTTAGAATAAATGTCATCCTTTTCAGCTGGAAACAGATACCATTCCAAAGGTGGTGACCATGTGCATCTCTTTAGGAATTAACATGAAACCCAGGAAGCATTTTCTGCTCTGCAATTCCAAATGATGCCTGCAGAACTCTTACAGGGAAGTTAGCCTGGGAACCCCATGAACTATCCAAGATGCCGTTGTGGCCAGACGTTTCTCCATGAAGACCAGACTAACTGGATAGCGAGCAAGCCTGACAACTGGACCACGGATGGGCTGCTCTGGTGTTACATGGAAGAGTTCAGGATGGTACTTACAGACGCTTCAGATCTGGGAGGCCAAGAAAAGCTCCAGGATGGATGGTACTGATCAAGTTGTTCTTCAGGTCTCTGGGAAAAGAGAAGAAATATGTCAGAACTTAGGCTGAGGGGTGTGTGGGAATGAGCGGGTAGGGGCTGGCTATCCCTTCTTAGGGCAGAGAAGCAGAACCTGGGGGTCACGCTACCCCTCCTGGTGTTTCCAGGTCCTTATACCCCAGCAGCAGTCACTTGGTGGCTTCCCAGCTGTTGTGCTGTTTCCCTGCATCCAGAAAGCCCAAAATGCCTCTCCTAAGGCTTAGCTACTGGTTGCAAGGGCACTCAGCTGACATGTGCTAGTATTTTGCCCCACCTCTGCCTTCGGTCTTGCCCATCACTGAAAGATGGGCCCAGAAAATGTCTCTGAATTGGAGTTCGGACCGTGGGCTAAAATGGCTCTGTGTCCCTGCATCAGGCAGCCAGCCTGAAGCAGCTCAGCAGCGCCTGCCCTGCTGCCTCTCTTAGCATGCACTGACGTTCATCAACAAAGGATCCCTATTTTCTCCTGTGCTCTGTCCCACACCCATTTACTTCCATCTCATTCTGTGAATGCACACACAGAAAACCAAACATGTACCAAATCCAAATAAAAAATAAACTAAAAACCAAATTAAAAAATAAATTGAAGTATCAAACAAACAAACAAAAATACAGGTTTAATACGTAGTAAATGAATCTCATACAAAGTGATCCTGAGCTGTGGCTTCAGGTCCCACCATCAACATCTCCGTCTGGCAGGACCAGGTGGCACCTGAACCATGTGCAGCTCCAAGGATCTCAGATGTTTTCACATTTCACTTCCTCACAAATGTCAGTTACTCTGAGGCCAAGAATAGATGTTCTGTCAATGAATCTAGCATATTCGACAATTAAACATTACAGCTCAGATTTCTTCCGGAGCTGAAAAAAAATACAGTCTACGTTGTTTGAAGGTCGCGGGCTTTCCCTCCTGATGGCCTGACACACCTCAAGCCTTTAGACAAGAACAATGTTGGCTCGTTTTAGAAAACGAACATAAAAAGATCCATGTTTTATCAGACCAAGGCCTGTTTCGTCCAGCATTCTCTTGCCAGAGTGGCCAACCAGATGCCATGGCAGGAAGACTGCCATCCTCACCCATGTGCCCCAGCAACTGAGGCTTATATCTTTTGATATTGGAGGGCTACACAGAGCGATTCTCAAGATGGATAGCTGTCCCCTCCATGAATTTGTCCAATTCCTCTAGTATACCCGTCTAAGTTTGTAGCCCTTCTTGCATCTTGTAGCAAATTCTACATTTTTTTTTAAAGCCATGGGCACAAAGAGCCCTTTATTCATCCTCTAACACACCCCAATAAACGTTTACCTTTGGACTAGATATTCTTCTATCTGCACTCGAATGCAGAGAGCACAGAAGCACAAGGATAAAATGCAGTTGTGTATGCTTACTGATCTTTTGGTAAGCCCCAAACAACCCCTGTGCTTCAGAGAACAAGTTTTCCCCTCCTGTTTCCTTTGAAACATGTTGATGGGTTTCCATCGAATGGGCGGAGACAGACGGGGTTCTGATGGGCAGTTCCATAGCGCCTTAGGCACTCACTACCATTAACTTCACATCAAAGCATGTTTGTAGCTGCAGGAGGTTCATTATTGTTCTGTAATTCATTAAGAACCCTCATCTGGGCTTTCCCCTCCCCATAATTGTTGCTTCTCTTCCCACTGTCAGTTTACGCTATGCGATAATAAGAAAGCAGACCCTTCTACCACCCCACACACACCAGCCCACCTAGGAGCAATAGTGGAAGATGGGGCAGAAATAAATCCCCCACTGAAAAGAAGAGCCCCTTTTGCCTTGAGTGCACAGAGGCGGACCTCAAAGGCCACTTGCAAACATGGGGATCAAATTCAGGATGCAGCGTTGGAACTCAGGGTCATCCCATGAGGACGGTTGATGGGAGATTCTGGATAGGCCAACAGAAGGCCTTCTTCATCCAGTGCATGTGGAAAATATGGGAATCTGTGCCACAAGATGGCTGCTCTGGCCATCTCAAATGCCTTTAAAAGGGGGCTGGGCAAATTCACGGAGGACACGGCTATTGCTGCCTTCTGGTGCCTTTGTGGAGCGAGGAGGACATGAGTGCGTGGCCTCCTCATCTGCACGTTCTCCAGCAACTGGCCTACACAGGCATCCTGCCTCTGCCATTGGAATCACCTGCAGCCATCCAGACTGGCAACCATTGACAGACTGAAAAGGTCGAATCCCCTTTTAAAGCAATCCCAGTTACTGGCTGCCATTGCATCTTGGAGTAGCGAATTCCACCTGTGCTCTGTGAAGCACATCCTCTTAGGATGGAGCTCCCACGTTGATTGGATGACCTCAAGATGGATCCTTCCGAATGAGGGAGAAGGCCCCCCTGCACCAGGCACACTTCCATTCAATGCCATCATTTCCCTCATGCTTTACTTTCTCTCCCTACACTAAAACAGCAACCCCCGAAGCGCCACAAGCCAGACAGCAGCGTGGCACTGGCTGACAGAAGATGGCGGTTATGCTGTGCAACACACGACCCAAGGAGGCACGTGAGCCCAGCACCTCCAGCACACAGTGGCTGTACAAATCCTTCCTGTGTTTAGGTGGAAATGCAGGCACTCAGCCTGAAAAGGGCTCCTCTCACCAACTCGCTGGTGACATGCTCTTCCAAGCTTGAACCTGTTCCTGTTCTTCTCTCTCTTGGCTGTGGGTTTTTAGGGAAGAAGAGACAAAGAGAGCCATGGAGACCACATCGCACACAGCTGCTGCCCTAAATCACGCTTTAAAACAAGCGGTGAGGGAAACCGTTCCCATAATCCCGAGAAGACAGCTGGACTTAGACATCAGGACTGGCAAGTGTTAAAAAGGAGCGCTTCTTCAAAAGCTTCCTCCAAACTTCTCTCTCTCTGTCTCTCATGCACACACAGCAGTTCCTGTGCTAGGAAACACCTCTTCCCCAGAGCAGACGGTCTTTCTGTCCAACAGCTGACTAAAACAGGAATGCTTACCACAACCCCATTCTCAGTCAAAGGATCACTACCCAGGGTCCTTGTTCCTAGTCATATACACAAGTGGGACCTGCAGCAAAATCTTGCAGTGTAAAGCATCCTTCTTCAGGGTTCTAGTCAGTCAGCCAGGCCTATCCTGTCTTCTGTGTCCTCTTCCACACACACCTCACCCCCATGAGGACCAGCCTGCTTTCTGGGCCCACTGGCTCGGTGTTGAAAGAAAGGCAAGTAGGTGAACAGTGCATGTAAGTGTGAGTTCAAATCCTGGGATCCCATGGCTTCTCTGCGTGAGCTTTTAACCTCCCACTTTATGGAGGCTTCTACTTCTTGATCAGCTCTTATACATGTGCTCCCCGCACCCCAAGCTTTCTCTCCTTTCCCTGCTTTTTGTATGCTGCACTGCATCACCACAAGGTGGCACTGTGGTATAGCAGTATTGTGAAAATACACTCGCTTCTCATTCCAGTTTATTTTGGCACCTTCAGATAATAGGGCACTTTCATCGCTCTAGAAGCGCCATGGAAATGCGGGCAAATATGGGAAAGACCCTGGAAGGGGGCGATGCCGTGTGAAGCTGCACAAGCTGCCCTGAATGAGGACTCCTGAGCGCACAATGAACGGCTCTGCAAAGAAGCCCCCCCCCGCCCCCGGCGCCTTCCGCCCTGCCCCACTCCGCCCTGCCCCATTAATGGAAGCTGCAGTGCTGGGGGTCTGGACCAAAGCAGGAGTGCAGTAAGGGGCATTTAACCCACCTGCAAACACCATTTCCAGCAGTAAAAGAGTCTCCCTTCTTCACATGCATATATTATTATTATTATTATTATTATTATTATTATTATTATTATTATTATTATAACATTTCTATGCCGCCCCTTGCCGAAGCCTCAAAGCAGTTCTTTTGGACTGAGAAAACAGGGCAGTGCAAGGGCCCGGCTCCAATACAGAAAATGCAGCTGCAATTCATTCTGCCCCCACCCCCACCCCATACATGTAGACATGAAACAGCACAGCGTCTGGGCTGATCACCTCACTTGCCACTATTTGTTTGAAAGCAAAGTTTCTAGCTCTCAATATTATGTATGAAGACTTGAGACAAATGTGTGCCAAATCCTATGAATACGGAAAAGTAAAAGTGCTGGGGGCACTTTGTGCACAGGGAGGGAGCAGGGTTCACTACACGAGCACAAAAGGACTGAGTCCGTAGGACAATTTGCCCGCTCTCCATTTGGATTGCCCTGATCATCCAAACGAAGCACACTGAACGTTACAATGGGTAGCGGAATCAGCAGCCTCTTGGCGCACAAGTGACCCATCCAGTGGGATGCAGTGGACCGTGTCCAATTCGGACCGGGGAGCTCAAATCCCTGCTCAGCCGACTGGGTGGACTTTCACAGGGTTGTCGTGAGGATAAAATGGAGGTGGGGAAGGAGAGGGAAGACCCTCTGACCCTCTTTAGCTCCTTAACGGATGGTGGGGATACAACTCTTTTCTTAAGAGAACATTGGAATCATTTCCTTTTGGCACAAATGTTCCGGGTTTAAGATCTGATTTCAGAGAACTGACAAACAAAGAGAAACGGAAAGAGGAGTGGGTGTCCTTGACTCGCGGGGGCAGAGGTGGTTGGGTGCTTGGATGGCTGCCCAGGCCTGATGATGGGAGGGTATTCTTTAACTGCCTGGAGATAAGGAGGGAGACAAGACAAAGGACACTGCAGGAAACAAAAGGACTCAGCACAAGGCACCCCCGACCACTGGGGCTGGTGCCAATGACCAGCCCCTGCTTATTTCCTTTTTCCAAAGAGCTTCCAAGATGTAACACAGCTTAGAAGATCCCCAAGGAGGCCTCCTGGGACAGGCCTGATGTGTCCGCCGAGGGACTGAGAACCAGCACTTCGACCGGATAGCACCATCACAACCACTTCAAACTTTAGCATCCCCAAAAGGTGGTCCTGGAGCAGTTGATGCAGAATCTATCCCCTCCTTCAGACCATTCCAACTTGAGTGCTCTGGTCAAAA